TTGTGGCTAGGGTTGCGGACAGCCCCTTCCTAGGCTACTGTAGATTTATGGGGCCAGTCGCGATCGGCGTGTCGTTAATTTTTGGCTAGGTGTTACCGTAATTGTTAAATAACTTGTAGCGCTGAAAATGAAATTTTATTATAACATACAGAGTTTATACATTTAGACCGGGAGACCCCCCCCCCCCCCCAATGCTGAATTATCATTATTCTATTCAATGGCCTGTTTAAAACTAAGACATAGCTGGGGGTTTAAGAACAGTTAATTCAGAAAAGGGAATAATATTTGATGGAGGATTTGTTGCTTTTGGTGGGGAGGGTAGGGGGGGGGGGATAGCTCGGGGTATCATTTCCTCGTTGTCCGAGCCGCTGACAGCTCCTCCGCGAGGCGAGTGTTATCTGCGCCACACCACCGTGCTCATCAAGTGCACCGCTCCGACAATTAATCCTGGTTTATTGGCGGCAAATTTCACCGCCCAGCCCCGTCACGTGGGCGCAGTCTCCGCCCTGTCGTCTGCCCAGAGCTGATCCCCTTATCTCACAAATACGGATGCCCCACGTCCCCCCACCCCCTCTCCTTTTAAGCTTTCAATATCATGTTTAATATTTCCTTCAGGCCGCTTAATACGGATGCCCCACGTCCCCCCCCCCCCCAAACTTATCCGGACTCGTCACATGGACGTCGTTTCCCTTACGCTCAAGTGTTCACAGAAGATTGTGACCAATAATATTGGATTATTTATTGCTTCTAGCAACGTTTGTTTTTGTTTTTTGTTGCTTTTTTGAAGGTATTTTCTTAACCAGAGCATCCGACTGGGTCGTTGGTTTGTCTTAAATTTGTAGGGAAACGACAATGTATCTCTATAAATTTAATTGTCGGTGACGAGACCCAACGGCACAGATGAATCACGTCTGGTCATAAGTAAATGGCCAGTAGCAGGTAAATGGTACATGGCATGGCCAGTAACAGGTAAATGGTGACTGGCATGGCCAGTAGCAGGTAAATGGTACCTGGCATGGCCAGTAGCAGGTAAATGGTGACTGGCATGGCCAGTAGCAGGTAAATGGTACCTGGCATGGCCAGTAACAGGTAAATGGTACCTGGCATGGCCAGTAACAGGTAAATGGTGACTGGCATGGCCAGTAGCAGGTAAATGGTACATGGCATGGCCAGTAGCAGGTAAATGGTGACTGGCATGGCCACTAGCAGGTAAATGGTGACTGCCATGGCCAGTAGCAGGTAAATGGTACATTGCATGGCCAGTAGCAGGTAAATGGTACCTGGCATGGCCAGTAGCAGGTAAATGGTGACTGGCATGGCCAGTAGCAGGTAAATGGTGAATGAAATGTCAACTAGCAGTCCAGTAGATCAGCTGCGTCTTCCACGTATTATTATTAAGAGAACAGCCAATGCCGTGGCAGTCACTCTAATCCAATCAAGATTAAATTACTGTTACCTGTAATATTTGTTTGTGGGGTTTACCTCAAAACCAAATTCAGGGACTCCAGAAGGTACAGAATACAGCAGCACGCAATTTAATCGCGTATAAAGAAATCTGACCACATCAGCCAGTTCTTAAAGCTCTCCATTGGCTGCCTGTGAGCAAGCGTATTGACTACACCATTCTGTCCCTGGCGTACAATCCGTATAGCTGTATAGAAGGCTCTGCGCCGGAATCTCTTCCAAAACTGATTTCTAACATGTATCCCTACAGAACCTACGCTCTTCAACACAGTTCTTACTGAGGGTTCCCTGTGTGGATGGACACAGAAATAAAGAAAGAAGTCATGCGGAATGCGCCCTTTTGAAGCTATTGCGCCTAAATTATGGAAGTGTGCCTCAATCTTTGAGGGAAACTGCAAATGGTAGAAAGTCATTTAAGAAAAATTTAAAGACTTTTTTCTTTACATCAGGGCTGTGCAAACAACGGCCCGGCCATCGAAGGAATTTAGCAATTTAAAAAAATACTTTGTTTTTAAGTTATTTTGTTGAACTTTACAGAATTTAATTCTCCGTTATGATTGTTTTGACATTTTTGATCAAATTTCTTATTTTCTATTGTTTTAAACAGTCCTCGACTTCTGTCATGTAATGGTAAAATGAGAGTTTACCAAATTTAATATAGGGAAATGTTTATCGACATTTAAAAATTAGACATAATATACATGCGCCCCCCTCCCCCAAATAGCTTTACATTTTTCAATGTGGCCCTCCGCAAAAAAATTTGCCCACCCCTGCTTTAGATAGACTTTTGGACATCAGAGCGATGTGAGCACGCTAAAACAGTATGAACACAGCGCTATTAAAGTATTCAATCAAAAATCAAATGCAGGCAAATGATGACTGAAATGTCCACTAGCAGGCAAAAGATGAAGGAAATGTCCACTAGAAGGCAGAAGGTGAATAAAATGTCCACTAGCAGGCAGAAGGTGAATGAAATGTCCACTAGCAGGAATAAGGTGAATGAAATGTCCACTAGCAGGCAGAAGGTGAATGAAATGTCCACTAGCAGACAGAAGATGAATGAAATGTCCACTAGCAGGCAAAAGGTATATGAAATGTCCACTAGCAGCCACAAGGTGAATAAAACCACTAGAAGGCAGAAGGTGACTGAAATGACCACTAGCAGGCAAAAGGTGACTGAAATGTCCACTAGGAGGCCAAAGGTGAATGAAATGTCCACTAGCAGGCAGAAGGTGAATGAAATGTCCACTAGCAGGAATAAGGTGAATGAAATGTCCACTAGCAGGCAGAAGGTGAATGAAATGTCCACTAGCAGACAGAAGATGAATGAAATGTCCACTAGCAGGCAAAAGGTATATGAAATGTCCACTAGCAGCCACAAGGTGAATAAAACCACTAGAAGGCAGAAGGTGACTGAAATGACCACTAGCAGGCAAAAGGTGACTGAAATGTCCACTAGGAGGCCAAAGGTGACTGAAATGACCACTAGCAGGCAAAAGGTGACTGAAATGTCCACTAGGAGGCCAAATGTGAATGAAATGTCCACTAGCAGGCAGAAGGTGAATGAAATGTCCACTAGCAGGCAGAAGGTGAATAAAATGTCCACTAGCAGACAGAAGATGAATGAAATGTCCACTAGCAGGCAAAAGTTGACTGAAATGTCCACTAGCAGGCAGAAGGTGAATGAAATGTCCACTAGCAGACAGAAGATGAATGAAATGTCCACTAGCAGACAGAAGATGAATGAAATGTCCACTAGCAGGCAGAAGGTGAATGAAATGTCTACTAGCGGGCAGAAGGTGACTGAAATGTCCAATAGCAGGCAAAAGTTGACTGAAATGTCCACTAGCAGGCAAAAGTTGACTGAAATTCCCAATAGCAGGCAAAAGTTGACTGAAATGTCCAATAGCAGGCAAAAGTTGACTGAAATGTCCACTAGCAGGCAAAAGTTGACTGAAATGTCCACTAGCAGGCAAAAGTTGAATGAAATGTCCACTAGCAGGCAAAAGGTGACTGACATGTTCATCACTAAAGGACTATAAAACGTAACCTTCAAAAACAGTGAACAGCTTTTCAACAGCCCAACCCAAAGATCACATATGTTCTTTGTAATTTATTCATCAAAACAATTGTAATGACAATTTTTATACAAATATAAAATCACAATGCAACTGAAATTTCAATACAAAATTATAATAATGTTAATTTTGTCAAAATGAGATAAAAATGATTGGGCATCGGGTTGCATCAATCTCCAACCAGAGCTGAGATACAAACTAATAACTAGGGTTCAAATGTTTCTACATTCCCAAATGCTAGGATCAAGCAGACCCGTGGTCTGATCAAGCCTGGAACAAGAAAAGTGTATCAATAAATAATGTCTTTAGTTTCTTTGTACAAATGGCAGCTGTCTTCGTGTTCTGATCAAGTGTGTCGGCTCCTAAGGGTTACCATCCAAGATATTAAAAGCATCTCAGTAGCAGCAACAGCTGTCCCATAAAGCAGATCTGCTAAACTCTCAACGATTGATGAAGATAACTTTTAATCACTGTGTAATACACTGTTTAAAATTAATTTTATGATGGGGGGCAATACATTTATCGAGTTTAAATTTTAACATTTTATTTTAATGGACTTTAATGAGGAACACCATTTCAACTCAGTATAAAATAATAAGCTTTTCTTGCATTATTTTTTATCTGGGCCAGATCTTAGTCTATGGAAATACAACTCAACTGTTATACCCTACATCAGAAGGTAAGTCATTTCACCGTTTTAAAAGGATTCTATAAAATAACAATGTCTCCTCTTCAACAGTAAAACTCTTCTTGTGAATCCCCAAATGTGATTCTTTATATTATTATCAGCTGACACTAATCATGACAGTGTGCACCATGGATCTAGGCGCGATGAGTGAAATGTAACAAGACAGTTGAATACTTTATGGTGGTCAACTTTCGGCTGGGTTACTACACTACAAGTAAATATTGCCCTCCATCATTATTTATACAGTCCGTTATGATAATACAAGTTATAAATATAAAGAGCTTTCAATTCTTTTCCAATACAGGTAAAATTATTGCATAATAATTTATATCTCTCCTCTAACACCTTCATGATGATTGACCTTACATACAAACGACATTTGATAGTTTGGCTTGTATAATTCTGTGCATGTTAACTGATTGAATCATAATATAAAATACACTCTTTCAAAAATTGTGGTACTTTAACACTTTTCATTAAGTACTAAAACAACATTATCCATCTAAACTCTATATTAAAAACTGTAAATTGCTATATAAAAAGATGTGTAAATAAACATTCATCAAAGATGTACATCCATAATCCAAGGCTCTCTGACAATACCTAGAAGTTAACTCCAAAACAAAGCGATCCACGATGGCATGGAATTGTCTTCGTCCCCCCCCCCACCCCTTTTCAGTCTATAATGAACTATTCACACAAAGGTCCGAGTACTAACTAAAACAAAGCGATCCACGATGGCATGGAATTGTCTTCGTCCCCCCCCCCCACCCCTTTTCAGTCTATAATGAACTATTCACACAAAGGTCCGAGTACTAACAGCTATAAACATGGTTTACAACAGCCTGTCAACTAACACAAGCAGTCTGTCAACACAAGCAGCCTGAAAAAACCGGTTACAACAGCCTGTCGACTAATACAAGCAGCCTGTCAACTAACACAAGCAGCCTGTAAAAATGGGTTACAACAGCTTGTCAACTAACACTAGCAGCCTGTCAACTAACACTAGCAAAGTCAACTGTTGACGTGATCAGTTATTCCCATGATGCAGATAAATCTATGAAGCACATACAAAGCTCAAGAACAGATAGATAGCCCAGATGCATCAACATATACTCTGTTCATCAACAGATACTCTGTTTCTATCATCATATCACTAGCATTCAGCACGCACATTACCTTTCAGCTGCCTCAAAACCTAAGCTGAAATTATTTTAAGGGAAATTTTCTACAAACCATAACTAAAATGTTGACCCCATAAATAATTTCTACAACTGTGCTGTGAAATGAATTATGTATTATTTTTTAATTCGTGACATATATGGAGGAGAATTACAAAAAGAAGGGAAGGGGGGGTGGGGGGGGGTTGTTGTTTTTAAAATGTTCATTAGTATAAAAAATTTAATTGTGTATGTTATAGCCGTTTCTAGAGAAAGAACTCAAGTCGGGTAAGACGCAAACATAAAACAAATTTCTTCAGTACAATCATCTCTGGTGTTATAACTAAGAATGAATCCTTTCCATGCAAGTCTTACACCAACAGTGCGCTAGAAAGGTTTCTGAATTGTAACAGGCGGGGCAAGGAGACACATATCGCTAACCATGACAAGTTGTCTTCCCTTGCCTAGCATAAATTGGAAAGAGTAACTCACAGACTCCATCTACCAGGATAAAAACACCAAGATAGTTTAGGTCTAAAGATAAACTCACTCAGTCATTAAAAGGGAAATAACTCATGCTGTGGGTTGCTTGAAAATTAGTTTTTACCTCCCTAGTTCAACTACTTGTCTTCATCAAGGGTGAGCTGCAATTTTACTCAAATAAACCCACCTTTGAAAGAAAAAACGAGATGCTTCTTTTTTTTTAAATTTTAAATCTACTAGTATAAGGGAATCAGTGCATTTCCTATGAAGGGGTAATGATTTTGAATGGTGGGGGTAATGATTTTGAATGGTGGAGAAACATTGCTTGCCTACATGCCAGACTGATGTCCCACATTTGAAATGTCTAAAACTGGTTGTATAAAAAATATGCCATATCAAGGGAAAAAATAAAAGCCAGCTGTCTGTGTATTTTAAATGCTTGTCTTACTCATACTTTACAAAGTGAAATCTCTATGAGAGCATCTTCATCTAATCTAGCTAAAACAAAGGGTTACTAAAGAGTGTGATACATATGACTAAAAAGTAAGAAGGCCAAATTATAGACTAGCCTACACAAAATATATGACTAAATTCACAATCAAAATATTTTCCAGCACGCCCAAGTAGCTCAAAATGCCCATGTTTTATCAAAATGAACTCATTAATATTAATGAGGCTTGGGGTAAAAGGTGACTGAAGTAAACATTCATTTAATCCAATGTACCTAAAAACATGTTTAAGCCCATGGTATAAATGCTTGCCTAAAAAATTAGTATCTATTTCTACTTTTCTACTGAGTGACAGGGAAAAAAACAACACACTAACTGAAAAAAAAAAACAACCACAAAGTTCTATTCAACTATGTTATAATCATAGGCGTATTCTCTGGGATAGCTAGGCTAGGTGTGAAGCCTCATAACCATGTCAAATCCTACAAAATCACTCCTTTTATTATATTTACTACATGGTGCATCAGGAGAAAACAAGGATTCTAAACTGGTCAGCTTACAATGGTGAGCTTTAAGGCAGCCCAAAAACAGGGTATTTCTATCCATACAAAATGGTGCCTTCATCATTTAAAACATTGGGTTAAATAAGGGTTGTAAAGGATAGGGGTTAGGAAATAACATTAAATACAGATGTTGACACAGGAGACTGTAACTCACAATTTTTGAATTTGTCATTTGACAGATCTTAATGAAAACCCTTTTAGGTAAATTTAACAGGGGAAATACGATCAAAGCCATGCATTAGAGCCCAAAGGTTTGGAGACAGCCATATATACAGAAGACAATCACAGACTGAATTCTTATTGGTTTGCCATTTAAACCAAAAAGAAAAAGCATTTTATAAAAACATAATTTTGTAAATGTTTTTAAAACACAGCTTGCAAAATAAACACACACAAAAAAAAAATTAGGATTATTTCACAATGATATTTACAAAGTTTTATACAAAGGATTTTAACTATTTCATGATGCTAAGGAGTTGCTTAAAGCTAGTTGAATAATGGTTCAAAATATCAGCAACAAAATTTCCTGCCAGGGTAACTATTATCTAAGGAGCTGTTCAAGCAAGATATTCTAAAACTTGAGAAATTGATTTACATTAAGTTATTTTTTTAAAATGTGACATGTGAATCATGAGAAAATAATTATCAGATCAAGGCTTATTAAGAAAATTAAATACACTGCTTAAGATTAAATAATTAAAATATCTTTGGTTATAGTTCAGAAGAAGATATTCCTTTACCTACTCTTAAATATGAAAAATTGATGTATTGATTTTTGGGGGCTTTTCTAAAATAATGTTTTTCTTGATTGAAATGGCTTTAATGAATTACTACCGCTCTGTTTAAAAAGCATGCAACTGCTCTGACATAAAATTAAAATGAAACTTGTATTTTTTGTGTAGAAATATTTCAATAAAAACTACTGAATTCTCAAGAACTTACTTAATGCAACCATTGTCTCCAAGATGAAATAGTTATTCTGCTTTCAACTTTGTTTAATAAAAAATTTTAAGCTACCATTCATTTTTACAAACTTTTTTTACTGACAGTAGTCATCACACTGTAATAAATTATTCACATCCTATATGACTGTAGCTTTTCTTAAGTTGATATTGTCAGTAAAGTGACAAAAAACACCATCAGTTATACATGAGATTATCGATGAATATAATATAGATGTGTGCTATGATGAGAGATGGGTATCTTTCACATGACACTTCCACTATGATCTACGTAGCTGTGACTATATTTTCCTTAGCATATTTGTACACGTGTAAAACAAAATATTCATAAAGGAGCACTCGAGAACTTAAGCACTGCTTGGCAATGAAATTAACATTATAAAATTTAAAAATAACAATTTGCAAGAGGTTAATATTCTACACCTACAGATGAGTGAGAAGATAAAATGGTGAATTTTACACGTTTTAAATCCCATCCTCATCGATAAAGAAAAGCTTTTAATACTGAGCGATCAGTTTGCAGCAATATCAAATATATGAACACAGTAATTAGCAAAAGAAATGATATTGTTCAATTTCTTATTGGCATGCCACCTCCCCCTTTACTTTAAACAAAGTATTGAAATCATACAAAATATCACTTTCCAAATATAGAGTTAAATGAGTCACCCCTCTACTTTTGGGCCTCATGTATTTCAATATGTTACAGAATCCTATGTAAAACCCATATCTATTTAAGACCTCACATTATAATTATATTGCAAGCCCAGCACATATAGAGTGCCAAGGAGGTCCAAATTCCCATGATGCAGCAGTGACTGGCGGATGATAGAAGTTGCTTTTTTTTTATCTGATACGTGTGAAAAGATTCAGAACTGACTTGGATTCCTGCAAAACAAATATTTTAAATGTACGTCTTTAACACTAATAGCTGAGCAAAGTTCCACTCATAGATTTTCTAATGTATATCAGAATTACCAAACATTTCAAAGATATAATTCTTAAATTTTATCTAAGGAGATTTAGCTTTATGCCTGCCTCTATGATGTCAAGATAAGCCATTATCAAAGCAGAAATATGACCAAACCTTTTCTTGCTCAACAAGAGCATTAGTTTTCCTCTGGGTAAGGGTTCAGATAATTATATATCTGATTAAATCAATGTCAGAATTGTCTTAAGGAAAAAATAGGCATTGTACCGATAAGAGAAAAATCATATCTCTGTTTGAGTCTTTAGATAAAACTGTTTTTAATAGTTGATAAGTATGAAAATAATTTTTTTTAAATCCCTTACCTTTGTTGACCGTGTTTTACTGAAAACATTCCAGAATCTGAGTGTTTCATCTCCTGCTCCTGTAACAATAGCTTCTCCATCAGGGGACATTGCCTAGTAGAAGGTTTATGTTAGACAAAACTTTAGTGACAGAGATCATTACATATTACATTAATTAAACAGAAACAATTACTAGAATGTCTGGCTCAATTATATGAAAAATTAAATAATTTTTTAAGAGGGGACAATATTTTAACCAGTCCACATATTAACTTTGCTTCTAGAAGGTTAGAATACATCAACTCAAGTTTATAGGGAAAATAACAAAATACCTAAAACAGACAGTTTTAGATAAAGAAAGTGAACAACTTAATGTTAATAAAAATTATTCGTGGGGAAAGACTAAGCTGAAACTAACATACCAGATATAGAACACGGAAAGAATGTCCAGTAAGTTTTGCAATCTGCACAAGGGAAGGATATTTCCATACCAAGATCTGGTTCTGAGAGTAGCCATGTGTGCTTACCTAAGGATTTAAAAAAAAAAAAAAAAGAGAGAGTTTACTTTAAATTCTTTGTGCAACATCTTTCCAATGTTAAAACATTTCTTCTTTCTGAGATCTTAAAAAACGATACACAAAAAACCCCACTTCTAAAGGATATTTATGAAGTAGCATTTAAGCTGCACTAAATAAAAAACTTTGATTATAAAATTAAGTAATTATAAGTACATTAAGTTAAAAGATGGCTACAAGTATTATTCAGTCAAACACAGTGTATGGTAAAAAAAAATTAACAAAAACAACAAAGCAATAAATACAAATTGTAGAACTAAAAATGATAGAATAAATTCCCTAAAAATTGTTAACAAATACCTTGGAATAATTTTTTAAAATGTAAAAAAATTATTTGAAGTGATGGCATGTCAAAAATAATCAACTTAAACAATTTTTGTTCCTTCAATACTTTTATTTACTTAAACATTCTACACAAAAAAAAATCACAAACCCTGAACAAAGCCAAATAAAAAGTTTTCTAAAAAAATACCAAGATATACTTCATTGTAAAGTTAAAGATCCGATTATGGATCAGGGAATATTAGGAACAAGATTTTTGGAAACTTGAAATATAAAACAAGACATTAACACAGAGATTTCAACAGAACGCCATCCTCCACAAACAAAACATAACAAAAGGAAAAATTAAAAAAGGAACTCGGCTTGGAAATTAGCAGGAAAACGAATATCTTGTTCCTAATATTCCCTTCACATGGCTTGAATGTAGTCTCCAGGATACTATCCCTTAATAGTTTTTTTTAAGCTTATATTGCAATTCATATTGCAATAACATGTTACAATTGAAACTCACCAATTCATTAGAATGTTTTGACCATGCTAAATTACAGACTTGTGAGCCTGTGTCCACACAATGTAAAGGCTGATTTGTCAAAGTATTCCAGAATCGAATGCACCGGTCAGCAGTACCCCCACCACTTGCTAGTAGACCATGCTGATGTGGTGACCAAGCTATTGCTTTGACAGCTGCCAAGTGTTCCATATGAGTTTGCATTGGTGTTGTGCTTGTTGCATTCCAGACAAATAGTCTATTGTCATTGCCTCCTGATGCTAAGTGCTGGTGGTCTGGTGACCATTTCAAACCACAGACCTGCATTAGTACAAAATATTATTTGGTTAAAACAATAATAACTATAAAATTATGTGTTTATGGTTATGCCTATGTGTTTTAGATAACAATCAAGACTTTTTAAATATTTCATGTATAATAAAAAAGCAAACCTCTTGCTTGTGCCCTATGAGTTTTCTTTCTGGTGTTGTATTAGGTGTTCTAATATCTCTCTGTAAAATTAATCTGTCTCTGCTGCCTGAAGAAAGCATATCTCCATTCCATGCTAATGCCCCTGTGAACAAAATTCATTGAACATGTGTTATAAAGTCCCACAAAGTCAAATGAAATTGTGTTGTATACGTTTATTTTACAAATGTTTGTTGTACACATTTTTTTTAAAAATGGTGGGATGGAGGTATTATCAATTTCATGTAGTTTGTACAAATGACTAGAATAAGCAGTGAAGGAAATGCATATTGAAAGACTCACCCACTCTAGCCCCATGTCCCATTAAGGTATGAACCTTTTTGCTGACAGCTACATCCCATATCTGTACATAGCCTTTATTTGTTCCAACAGCCACTTGGTTACCCTAGATTGTAAAAATAAGCAACTGACATGGAAATCTAAAAAAATTACTATGAAACAAATTAAGCACAACATACTTTCTTGCAAATTGGAACAACAGATTTCTGGCATCCCAGGTTGGGAGTCATCTGGCATATCCCCCCTTCCCCCAAACATGAAGAGAATAAAAAAAAAATTACTTTTATCCAAATTAAAAAAAATTAAATCAATAACCTTTACATACTGTAATTTTTCTTCTATATTTGATACTAATCACATACCCTTTCTGACCATGAAACAGATGTTACAGTGTCATTGTCAGTGGATAGATCACACAACCGGGTAACCTGAAAATAAAAAATATTTTTAGCTACAGTTTCCGAAAGAAAATTTGTTAAAATATACTTATCAAAATTTAAAAAAACAAAAAACATTGCCAGATGCTTAGTACAATCCCATTATGTTTTTTGTGTTTCAAATACAAATGCCTTGAGTACAAAATGTATGGAGTTTAAAAAAAAGGTATGTAACTTTAAGATCTGAGTAAATTTTAAAAAAAAGTCCAGCTAAGGCTTGATACCTGACTTGTGCAAGCACTCCACAAATACACAGAGGTGCCAAGTCCAACACTAAGAACATTTTGTGATGACCAGTCAACTAAATTTAGGTAGAAGTCATCTTGAAGTTCAGGTGCATCTAAAACTTTGAAAGGTATTTTGGATATTTTTCTCACAGCCTGAAAAAAATTGTAACAAATTCATGCCTGGAAGAACCATTGATGAACAGCAAAATGCAAGCAAGGGTTTAAAGAGAGAAAATTTAACTTAAAAAAGCAACACCTGACAAAATAATATAAATTATGTTATTTACCTTACGTGGTGACCTTAACAATTTCTGGCTCTTGCTACCAACTGGAGATAAGGAGTATGGGGATGAGTCACAGCCATCTGAACATCTTCTCGGTGTATGAAACTGTACAATGGCAATTGTGAAATGACAGGTTACATTTTATTGTATTTTTTTCCTTTTTTTACAAATCCAAATATTAGTTTTTAAGTTTGAAAAACTCCTTTAAGTTCTTTATAAAAACCTAAGAAAATGAACTGAACTCAAAGCCGTTACCTTAAAAACATTTTTTGTTTCTTTTGGGGCAAGCACTTTTTTATCTTCTGTCTGGAGGTCCTAATTTTTAAAAAAAGTTAAACATGAAAAGCTAATAAGGAAATATCTAAGCAATTTGTCATATATGTAATATAGAAAACATTTAATACATCTTATTCCCCTGAACTGCCTAAACAAATTTGGAACAAGGGCCGGCTTTAGGTATAGGCAAAACAGGAAACCGCCTGGAGTGCCAAAGTCTAGGGACGTCATTTTGACACACTCCACCCACCCCCCACCCCCACTTATTTGTTTTTGTTTTAATTTGATTTTTAAAAGAATATTTTAAAGGTTTTTAGACTTAATGAAGAAGTTAAAACATTTTTTAATACATGCAGAGACAAATGAATTCAGGAATTAAAGATTACAGCAAGGAAATTTGATTGACGTTTAACTAGTTTTTTTAATCTACAAAAAAGTTAAGAGTTTGTCATAAGAAAAGGCCATTTGATGAATTTAATCTATTGAAGATCCTGAAGTATGCTATAGTGTTGAAATTTTAAATGTCATAGTTGATACTGCTATTAATTCTTTGAAAGAACATTTTGAGCTAATGAAACAACATAACAAAAATTCTTAAAGGATCACAAACATGTTGCAAGGAAATTGTTTTTAAATGTACAGATTTACAAAATTTGCAAACAATTTGGAAAATCTCAGATATTAATGTGAAGAAATACTTTCTTTTGTACATAATATGCTGCTGTTTCAAAAATTTGACACTGACTTTCTTACATTTTACACTCAAATCAATGTCTGGATTTATTTTCAATTCATTGCAACTGGAGCAAGAAGTTTTTCTTAACTAAAATTAATTAAAACATAATTAAGAGCATTAATGATAATGACTCAGGAAAGGCTCACATCTTTGACTAAGCTGTTTATTGCATTTTGTACAAAAGCAGACAAATCTAGATAAGGAGAAGGGGGTGAAAAAGGTCTTTCCAACATCTGAAAGTTAGCATTCTTTGTTATATGTTGCTTTACGCCCACTGAGTGTATTCCAGTATCTGTAAAAGACAGATGTCCTTAATGGCTGATCTACTTGCAAAATATGTATAATTTTCAACCACCAAAATGTTTTTAAAAATTATGAGTGAGATCACTAAATATTTAGTTGCCATTTATCAACAATTGTAAGCAATGCATGTTTTGGCCTTTAAAAAATTTCCTTTAATCTTCTGCTTTTGATGACTTTAATCGAATGATTTATATGATCATAATTAAACAGACGTTTAAATGTAGTGACTCTTTGCTCTTAATAATCATCATCATATTTTTTGGCATTTCATTGTATAATATAAACGGTTAATATCAACATGAAAACTAGTAGGAGGTAGGGGCGCCAAAATTTAGAAATGCCTGGGGCGACAAAATTTCTAAGGCTGGCCTTGTATGGAACAAATTTCAGAATGAGATAGTGAGTTTCTTAGAAAATATGTTTATTTTGTTAGCAACTCTGAAGGTGAATACTTAACCAGACCTGTTTACACTCAAACTCTTAAAATCATACAATTTCATCACAAAATAGTTCAATACATTATTTTAATGGTAAAAAAATAAACGTACATAAATATAATGAATACATCTCAAAATCGTACACTGTGCGCTAAAATCTTAAGAGTAAACAGTTCTGCTTAACCCATGAACTGTGGCATACATCATTCTGTAGTGTGGGAGCTTTTCAGAGCTTTTTGAGTGCCTTTTGAAATAGCACAAAAATAGATACAAGACCCCAATAAGTATATATTTTTAGAAAGGTAATGGATGGGGATAAAGTTGGGTATATTGCACACCCAGTAAAAAAAATTTTGTGCAGTGTCCTTACCTTGAAGTGCTCAAGAAAAAAAAATAAACAAAATGTCTTGCTTTCAAGTGCTCTTAACATTATTAATTTTTACAGATTCCATTAAAATACTAATATAAATGTGGTAGCCAATTCATTTATCTTTCAGAATATGTATAGTTTGCTAAGGTTTCGATTACAATTAAGCCTCTGAAATTTTAGATCATTTACTAAACAATATAAGAAACTGGGACCATCGCTAAAACCAAGAACAACATACAAAATCTTTGCTGGCATCAGTCCGTCACAATGTGACAATGGTGAAGACTTCGCAGGACGAAATCCACAAGGCCTGGGATTATTCTTCTAGGACTATAAGCTGGTTCCCAACAGCAAATCGCCTCTCTCCACGCCGCTGGATAACCCAAGGAAACATCATGTGGATGATAAAGCTTGGCACCAGTGGCCTAATAGAAGTTGTCAGAATCTTTCATTGTACCAATGTTATCGGCCTACGGGACTCCAACTCCGGGTTTGAAATCAGAGTTTCCTTCTCTTAGATGGGTTGCCATCGAAAGTTAACCAGTCCCATCCACCAGGGGTGCTTGTGAAGTTTTATGCTTAACTGGGCTTTGGCTGGAATAAACTCCAGACCACCAACTTGAGATTTGCTCAGTTTAGACCACTCAGCCACCCAGCAACCAAAGGATATCACGGGATGAGACAAATTTTACGAGGCAGGGAGTCGGCGCTATGACCATGGCAGATCCCGTCAACCTCAGCCTAAAAAGTTGTTAATGACAAGTAAACCTGTGGAACTGATTAAAGTTGTCTAACTATAAAATTTATTATGTCTGTTTTATAATCTGTAGCTTCTGTGACTAAAATTCAGCTAGTCCTTTCCCAACCACCAGGCCTCGCTAAAAGTTGAACAGTAGGCCTACTTCAGTATCACTAGGACTAAGATCGTCATGGGGAACGTTAAAATCATCATCAGTATCACTTAAATCGTCTCCTAAAAAGCTTTCAAAAATATTTCTATTAGTTCTCGTACTGAAGGCCCAGCCATAGCTTCATCAATTTTAGGTTAAAAACAAACAGCGATATAAAACTCCAATTAAAAAGTATTTATTGTTATGTTATCAACGAACAGCTTGACCTGGAAGGTTATTAAAAAAAAGGAAGTGGCTATAGTTCAGGTTAAATATTGGATTGGAAGTTGCTATCTGATTGTGTTGCCGCAGTACAGAACAAAAATATTGGCCGATTTTTTCGGGCGACCACAGTTCGTGGGTTAATCCAATTAAAAAAAACAGTATTTTCTAAACTTTTTAGGCCGCTGGCTTGTTTTAAAGAGAGACAACTTTATCACCCCACAAAAACATCATGCAACTTGAAATTATACTTTTAAACAGATCCGCAAATGTATATCTTGTTTGGAACACACTTCCTGTGTAAAACAGTGTTTGTCATTGAATAAAATTGCATTGAATACACCTATTCATAAAATCATTCACACGCATAAGCCCAACACCCTCTTCTTGCACTTAAGCAAATCTGTAAGCCAACCCCCCTAGAGATTAAACTAAAATATTTTGGGTAAAATTTGTTACTTACTTTCAAATCTTCAATGCCAGCAGCAAGAAGCTCATTCTTTAATAAACAAGCATAAGCAAGGCCATCTTTAGCTGACTCACTGTTTGATTCTTTTGTTTTTACAGTTGATGTTGGGGTCTGAGGCTAGTGAAAGTTTATTCCAAATAAGAAATAGCATTTAAATTTAAATTTTAACAAAGAAAATAACAGAAATAGTTACTGGGTATACATTGAAACTTTGTGGTCCATAAAAGTGGATCCTGATGAAAATGGGCGTGCATTAATGTGAGGTTTTACTAAATTCTGTGCAAATAGAATTGGGATTGTTAAAAAGAAGGTAGATCGGCATCTCATTCTAAAGCAGATTTTTAAATCTTTGATTAGTGAGTTATGTGGTGTTGAAGTTGAACTATTTTAGTGGATTTGTGAATGGATTGTAAGAGAATAATATCTATTTGTATAAGTATAAATTTTTCATGTACTTGGAAAATAAAAATTTTCATGTTGGAATGATTATACAAAATTTCGGAACCCATGCTGTGACATTATATCCGAATTCGCAGTAAAGCGATTTCCACTGTAATTAATAAGAATGTGGAAACTGGAAATTTGAGTAATGTACTGTTTTAACATGTTCACAATCCCATCTTTTTATTTGTGTAAAATAGAGTTTTGTTAGTCCTTCCATCTGTCCATTTAATTATGTTTAAAATGCACAAAGATTTGCTAACTTTCTAGGTTTTTCTTTCCTATCCCTCTATATATAAACATAAGTAGAAATAGGTTATTTTGCTTTTGTAGTACGTGGATAACCTCTTATTTATTTCTTTAATCTAAAAATAATTAGCAAACAATTAGTAACTCGGTCGGCTTAGTCAGACAGGTAAAGTTGCTTGTTAAATTTTATTTTCAGTTATATAGATTTATGGAATTTAGAACCCATAAAAACTGGTTTCAAGGTGTTGGGAGCCTTAAAATGAGAAACTTGTTTTTAAATAGTGTAAAATATTTTCATAATCCTGTCCACAATCATTAAGAATAAACTTGTGTAATTTACTCCTTTGTCAGGAGAACTTAAAATGTTTGATGCATTTCTCCAGTGCTCACCTGACAATTATCCATGAAAATTTTAAATAGAGGAAGAACAGAATAACTAGGCATATTGAAGCTTGAAATGGAATAATAGGACAATAAAAGGAGAACATTTTGGCTAAAAGCTTTCTTCAGCAGACTAAACAAGAAACAACGCTATAGAAATGAATAAAAAATGTAAGTATCTGTAGTTTAATGTGTTGTGGAAAAATGGTGTGAGTGCTATATTGTTGGAAGTTGTCTTCTGGTTGGCAGCACCTTTGAAAGCATAGTAACTTTTGCTACTGTTATTGTAAACACAAGATACTTATTGCAAGAACACATCACAATGCGACAAAGCTGTGTTAGGTTTACGGTTTCAACATTTATCATATACCAAAGGAAGTGTTTATAGATTAAAACTAAAACCATTTTTAATACCGTATTTTACAGACTATAAGACGCACATTTTTTCTTCTAAAAATTGTCTCCAAAATTCAGGTGCGTCTTATGCTCGAAATTAATATAAAAATGGTAAAAATGGTTTGTTTTTTTTTAAATTGCTTAAAAATTAAGGTGCATCTTATTGTCCGTAAAATATGGTATGACTTTTTTAAATTGATTTCATATATCATACAGTTTTGCTAGTGGAAATATGTTCTGACGAGGTAAACTATACAGTAAATAAACAACACTGACTGATCTGGTGACTTTGGTTCTTAATAAGTGAGTTAAAAATTCAATAATTAAAAATGAACTAACCTGTTGGAGATCAAAGTTAATATTCCAGCAAGGACTTGCTCTGGAAGGGATAAATCTATCACCATATATCCTCTTATTTGGCGACACAACTGGACTTGGATATAGAGGCTGGTTAGAAAGTAAAAAAGATTATACTTCACATTGAAACTATATTTTTTAAATCATATTATTGTAACGAAAACCTTATCTATCTGGGTTACAAATTTATGTAACAACTTTAAGCTGCTCATTCCATAGCAATATAAAAACATGTAACATATTTAAATAACCGGTGGTTTGTTTGAATATTTTTGGTACAAAAGTTTTTTTTTAGGATTCTGGGCCAGTCAATATAATTATTTGAACTTAATTTAATAAATAAAGATAAGAAATATTTGCAATTTGCAAAATATTATGGGTGTTTCAACTATAGAATAATACCAATACTATTTGAAAGTATCTGCTTACTGATCCAAAAGGTGATAACTGTCCATTCTGTTGTCGGAGCAGGCGCTTTTCATATTCTGGATCCATATTAACTGAAGACAGCAAAGGAGGTGAATTTGGGCGTGACCAGCAGCATAAAATATGTTTTAAGTCATTTACTTGTAGGCTATAGGTGAATTTGGTGAGAATTTATCTGAAAAAAGAAATTATTTCAATGCATATATCATGTGTACTGAACTTAGAAATAGTTAATTCCAGTGAAAAAAACGCTAAGGCATAAAATTAAAGAATAATTTTGCTTAATTGGAACCCCATGCTGGTAATTTAGGCGCATAAGGAAGAGACATAAGAAGCATCAAATAAGATTATGTGCTTGTTTAAAGAGGTTTTTACTAGGACAAAGCATTTTGGTTTTTCTAACTTCAGATAATATAAACTTGTAAGCAATTATGCTCAAAAGCACTAACATAGTTACTCTGATAATCGTAGAAAACAGTGAGTCACATTGACCATTTAGGGTGTGTGTTGGTGATGTGCGATGCATGCTCCATTTTCTAAGAATAGAAGAACCTCCTACTATAAATTTAATAATAGATTGGATTCCGCTTCGAAGAGTGTAAATACTGTTTCAATCGGTACTTGCCGAGATGAACAGTTGGAGCTTGAACTATGTGTTGGAACATTAGTATTTTTTTTTAAACTTTATGATTCACATAAAAAATGAAGGAGCACTACAGCGGATTCCTTTTGGAAAGTGAATCGCTTATTTGAAATAGTGATAATGATTTCCACATTAAAATATAGTTTTCCAAATATAAACAAAGGCACTAAAATGAGGTCAGCCTAATAGTAGCAATAGTGGCCATTTACTATAATAATAATAATAATAATAAAGCTTATTTGAGAATCATGCTTCATCCCCAAAGGCTCGAAGCAAGATCCCATACTAAGTCTTTCATCCCTTGCAACCATAAACAACATAGGCCACTATACATCTGGGAGAAAATAACTAGCTGGAAAAGATGGTAAACAACATCACCCCAGCAGGTGTTTGCGAAATAGATATGTTTTCAAATGGGTTTTGAAAGACTTCAGTGTCTGAGAGCCACAGGAAGTGTGTTCCAAATTGTTGGGCCAGCAAATGCGAACGTGCGCCTTCTGTAAGTCTCAAGGCGAACACGTGGTATCAAGAGTTTGCCACTATCGGATGGGCGGAGTTGTCTAGTGGGTACATAAGGCATCATGAGCACTTTGAGATAGGACGGCGCCAGGTCATGCAAGCAGCGGTAGCACAGAGGTTGCAATTTTGTACTCTATGCGACCGCGGACTGGCAGCCAATGCACTGCATTCCAATTATTTTTAAGCAGGGAAACTAGGCCACTACAATATACCAGCTCAGGGGTCAGCAACTTTATTTGAGTGAGGAGCCCTTATTATAACATATATCTGCTTAGAAGATATTTTGGGAGCTGCAGTCAGGGGTGAATTCTTAAAATATCTTTAGTAATATTATAGATAAGTAAAAAAAAGAGCTGCATCTATTCTTTTGCAGGTTGCTGACCGCTGTACAAGTCTATACCAGACCTGTTTACACTCGTACTCATAAAATCGAACAATATCGTCTAAAATCCTCAAATACAGTATATTAATAATAAATAAATAAACAAACAGTATATATAGTGTATACAATAACTACTCGCATCGCGTGTTTAGTGGAATCAAGTTAAGGTGGCGTAAAAAATGGTGCTGAAGGTAAACAGTAGATGACTAACGTTAACTGCAAACTGCGATCACTTTGTTTTGTAGACATGTATCTGCTTGCTATAGAGAGCATTTAATATTTAGATGAACGGTCAGCCGTAAGAAATAATTATGTCACAAAATTACGTCATACAGCACTGATGGAAAAAAAAAAAAACTAGACGCGATGCAAAAAAAACTTGACGAGATGCAATCTATATAGTATGTGTCACAGATATGAGAAAAAGAATACAAAGGAGTAAAGTGAGACATTGTAGATGTGCTAGTATGTAAGCACACAAAGAGTCAAATTTTCTAGCACCCCCCCCCCCCTGCAAGCATAATCTTCATATATTTATGATGTTACAGTAAAGAAAATGTGACACGGGTTTTCACCACTGTAATTCAGCGAGCCCAGTGGTTCCCATGAGAAAAAGAATACAAAGGAGTAAAGTGAGACATTGTAGATGTGCTAGTATGTAAGCACACAAAGAGTCAAATTTTCTAGCACCCCCCCCCCCTGCAAGCATAATCTTCATATATTTATGATGTTACAGTAAAGAAAATGTGACACGGGTTTTCACCACTGTAATTCAGCGAGCCCAGTGGTTCCCAGAATATATGCTGTATTGCCCTGAGTGCTCTTTTTCTTCGGGCAAGGCCACGAGAATAAGGCGAAGAGCAAAATCGCCTTAGAAAGGACCAATTAATCAATTAAACCATTTAATTAAAGAGAAAGGGCGCAATGGATTGTCCTTTTACTGGTCCGCCCGGGTGGGTCGGGATACACATTTTTTCTATATGGGTTGCTGCGGCTTCCTCGTAGGAGCGTTGCAAAATATTACAAAATTTCCATAACTTTATTTCAACTTTTAATTTTAATCCAATGTCACAACTAAAGGTCGTGATGTAAAGGTTAACAGTAACCCCCTTGAGTAACTACTGTTAGCATTTACTAGATGGCACTTAGTGACCTACATACATGTCATATTTATTTATTTCTCCCCAACTCTTTATATTATTTTGTTTAAATGCTATTTCGAAGTGTACTCAGAATTTCAATCAGGGAACCTGGTGAAAAATCTAAATTTGGCATATTTGTGAAAATACATATTGACAACATCACTACGATAATACCTCCTAAACATTGAGTGGTATTTTACAGCATTTGAGATATAAATATGCTATTTTTGGACTTTCAGAGTTTTGGGATGAATATTGTAAAATTTTTAATTAATGCACATACTTTCTGCCGCGGAACATCCCCACCCCGACAAAAAAAAAAGTTGCGTTGTTGATGGTATAGATTTAAATAGGGGTGTGCCGGATCCGTTTTTTCCAACCGGATCCGGATCCGGATTTTCTTATGCGAAATCCGCCGGATCCGGATTCCGGTTTCTCCCGGATTCCGGATTTTGGTACTATTGGTAGATACTTCGGTAAGTCAAGGTGGACTACTACTTTTTGTGTATGGGAATTCGCAATCGGCGCCAAAAAATCCGAGTTTTTAATTTTCCGATGTGTGTGTCTATTTATTATTAAATTAGTACTTTCGATATATATTTGAGTTCCGTTCCATTTGGATAAGTGTCTTACGAGAGACGCCATGTTTCTACGCGTTCGCAGCAGGTTATGCAGCTCGCTCAACCTAATTTCGCCATGGGGTTGGCCACGCCCCCCTTTTTAATGGCGGAAGTTGACGATACTTAGGAAATATTAATTTATTATCACTATTTACATCAAAATAATTGATAACTTGTGTTTCAGAATGCATTTAAAGACATTTAAACTGGAATGTTTTAATTTGAGCTTTAACAACCCGGTAGAATCCATATTATAAATGATCAGAATTTACCGTGTGCAACACGTTGTCATTGGCAACCATTCACAGCCACTTGCATAACTGTATCGTAGTACTACCTCAGAGTTTCATTCATAAGAGTTTGCCGTGTGCAAAAACTATTAAACCATTGGTCAGGGAAAGCTTTAATTAATTATTCATGTGCCAAAGTTGAAAGTTTAAACTAAGTCTAAACAGTATTTTAGTGATAAGGCAGGGAATGCGTTGCCTTATATAAACTATATAGTCATTGCGCATGACGGGATTGGCGGAATGAGATCACAGAATGTGGAGACGCAGTCCATGTTAAAAAATGACAAACCAAGTCGTACTTTAAAAATTCATAACTTTAAAACTACAACAGCTAAATATATGATTTTGGTGTTATAATTATTTAAAAAATTACATCTTTTCAACAATGCCATTGGTTTATTTTTACAAAAAGTTTAAATTTTCTAATCAAAGTCCCTACACTATTTGCCACTATTAGCGGTGCTGACTCTAGCCTCTGGTATGTACGGAATATTAAACATTAAACAAGCTCAACGCTCGAAACAATCGATTAATGTATCGTGATCGTGTGGAATTCGGGAAAGAGAATTACTTTTATTTCAGATTATGATCCGGTGAGTCACAAAATCTGGCAAATTCCGAAATCCGGTATATTCCGGATTCCGGAATCCGGTTGTTCCCGATACATGTAAATCCGGCGGAACCGGATCTCACCGGATAGTGCAAAATCCGGCGGAACCGGATTCCGGACCGGAATCCGGCACACCCCTAGATTTAAATATTTAGACCCACGTCACACACAAACTCTCCTAAATCAAAACCACTCCTTTTGTCCCTGATTACTAATGAAAAGTCCGACTTGCAGATTGTGCAGTGCGTGTATGATGGACCCTTCGATAAAGTATGCAACTCAGTAAATTGTGTCTGATATTCAAGCAAGAATATCTGCTAATAAACTTTCTTTTTTGTTGAATCTGATGTTTATTAGTAGAAGTTTCTTCTTCATCATACCCCCTTCCTCAGCTGCATTCTTGCCAACATTAAGGGCTATCCAAATATTATGTACACGCTGAGGATGCCTATGACAACTTTGATGGGCGTTGGGGGGGTGTTTTCATTAGAATGCACCTACATTTATGCATAAATTCTACAATAATTATCCAGACAATACATGTTACGGTTCGAGTAACATGTTACAGTTACATTTACCTCCTGAACTTTAATTAATTTGTTTTTGTTCTTGTCACTGTTTTACTGTGGACTTATTTTAACAAGAAGAAATCCATCACAGCAGTCAGGGGCGGGGGGGCGACACACCATGAGTTACCCGCACCAGGTGACAACCCTAGCTATGTCACTGCTAATAGGCACCTGATCTTTTACCGTTAACAATAATTTTAAATCAGTTTATTGATGGCGTTCGATTAGAAATAAAAAAGTGTGGGGGGAGGGGGGGGGGGGGTTGGGGTTGTGTGTAAGTAAGTAAGTAAGTAGGAGTAGGGATAGCAAACCGTTGTTTTAAAACTGTTGAGGGAATAGAGCTGCTTTGAGAGTTCTAAAAAATATTTTTTAAATGCCACTGACTAGTGCTTATAAAATATGTCCAAATCTAAAATTCCAGTGCAGAACAGTTGGATAATGTATTTTATTTTACAAAACATCTCTAGTTATTTCTGTTTTCATAATCAGACGAACATAATAATTATGTAACAAAACTACGTCATACGCTTGTTAGCAGTCAAAGGGGATAGTGAGTGAAGTTGTCACTAGTCTAAATATTCACAAAGCAACAATATTAATATGACACTCATCAACATCAATACGATACGTTGCAGTGATATTTTTATAGCCTGTAACACTCCCACTAATCCCCCTTCCTATTGTTCTTGTATGCCACAAATCTCCTTAATCAACAACCCCCACCTTCCCATCAGCATGTACGTAATATAATGAAGGATGGTCCCAACTTTATTAAAAATTACAATCGTTTTTCTCGGACCATTTACTGCCAAATCTTTATTTGAGAGGACTAAAACTTCCACAACCGAATATTTATTTAATTTTTTTAAATCTAAAAAATTACCAGAATTTTTTTTCACCAGGTCTTTGAAAATCATAGTTTTGGCGGGTCTCTACATACAATCATAAAAGACATCTAAAAATCTGAGATTCCCCCAGGTCCACTTACGTAAACAGCGCCATACTAAAAAGATTTCGATGTTTGCATTCACATAATGCAATTATTGTTTTCTTATTTTATTTTTTTTTTTAAATTGGGGAGGGGTTCTGGGCTTAGAGAGCTTCTTTGTTTCTTATTTTGTTATTTAAAGTGGGTTGGGGGGTCTCCCCCTCCCCAGTCCCTAGAAGATCATTCCAAATGCAATTTAAGCAGTAGTCTCCCTTTTGTTTCTTAAGTCTAAGTTTCAACATACGGATATTTTGATTTCAACTAATCAAAATCGAAGTGGCTATTCTGACCCGGGTCCGAGAAATGAGAGGCTTGGATTAAACATTTTTAAAAAATATTATTGTTAGGTTGTAAGACAAAATTTGGTATCAAATGAAAGATAATTGAATTAATGAACTATATGTTTGTAAAATTACTTCTTCAGTTTAACTAAACTGCCACAAATGACATCCGAATAACATTGAGTCTAAAGGATCCCGGGTCCGAATGGCGGCGCTGCTTGTCAAGAGTCCATTTTAGCAAAACCCATACTGTTAACCCAAAATTTTCCAAGTAAACAGGTCTGCAACAGTGTCAAAACACTGACACTAATATAATTAGTTACTAATTACTGATATTAATATAGTAATATAGTCTCCTAGTATAACCCAACTGATACTGACCTGACAAGTAAATAGTAAATGAAATGTATGCACTTGCAGAGAAAGATTGCAAAAAAATAATCACTATCTCATCTGACTGGCCTTATTCAGCTAACTCCATGAAATGCCATGAAACATGGGAAAATGGGATGGACTCGAGTGGGATGAATAGCAATCCCAATGAGTAAATGAGCGACAATGGAATGATGGACATCTACAACTAGCTCAACACTGCATACTCAAGTTTACTCACTGACGATCTGAACAGACAATATTTACTTTATTTACCAAGACTACAGACTACAGTGACAGTGTAGTGAGTAGACCAAGACCAAAACGATAAAATTCAAATTTTTATACTGTTTTTACATGGCAGTTAAAGTGGGTGCAAGTAAGGCGCGCTGGAAATTTAATTAATATAAATAGACTAAATATTCGATTGAAAACGATCTTTAAAAATAATTGAGAACTTTGTTTACCATTCATTTATTTTAGACTTAAGTAAAATAAAACAGCTGGGTTACTCTGTTTTGTTATCACAATGGCGTCTAAAATGGAATCAAGCATTATGGGAAATTTTGAATTTATTTTAAATATTTAGTGATTTTATTTTTTTCTGGATGATTATTTTATTTTTAAAATTTAAAATTTTAATTTATTGCGTATCTTATTTTAAAAAGTGTTTAATCTGTGCATCTTTTTTTTTCAACTTCACCCTAGCAACGTCACTATCAGTTAAGCGTCTGTAGTAAAGATGGCGACCAAGCAGATTGAGAAAGAGCCTGCCAATGCAGTACATCAAAATAGCATTCTGTGTGAAACCATCAAAAAGGAAGGCAGATGCCAAAAGTTGTATACCAACTATGGAATCAATCCATTTAGAAAAAGTAACATATATTGAATAGTTAAACGTATAATAAAGTGGTGTTTATGTTACATCGGCCTATGGGCCTATTTATATAATATAAAATTAAATTACTTAAATTTATTATTATTAATATATTAATACTATATTAATATAATTTATAAATTTAATATTATAATATATATATATATATTTTCTACATATATTTTTAAATTCGATTATATTTTAGATTAGTAAAAGCTAGGGCCAGAGCCTATATCAATTTATATTTATACTAAATTAAATGTTTATATAATAATTTATAGTATTCATTTACTAAAATTTATGTTAGTAATTGTTTTATTAGGCCCAGACTATTATGACTATACTATAATTTCTATAACTTTAAAAAAAAAAAAATTATAACTGATTTAATACAGATAGTTGAGACAGTTAGAGGTCTTCAACTCATCTATAAATATAATTCGCCAACAAAGGTCAAACAAGACGAGTCAAACACCAAGCAGGCTATTTATAGATACGCTAGAGCTTGGTTCAATAACGACTTCAATAGCGCGCAAAATAAAAATTCTGATAACTACGCTTAATGATATATATCTATTTTTAATAATGCGATTGCGTTTGGTGCGTAATATTTTCTTTTGGGAAATGAAATCGTTTCAATTTAAGTATTGTGTCAAAAATATTCGGTTTAAAAGTTGTTGGGACATGAGAATATTAATATAGTTCATGGGCGTGAAATAAAACGTGTGCAGTGACGTATCATGGGGGAAGGGGTGTAGCAAGTATTGGGATTCTTAAATGTGCGTTACTTGAGTTCAAGTTGTCGCAAGTAACTTTAGTGTATGATTGGAAGTTGGAAGTTCACGCACTGCTGCCCCTAAAGTTTGGCGGGCTATATCACAGTTGTATCCTTAAACCAACCCCATTTGGACAACTGTGTCTTTCACGAAGTCTTCACTCATCTATGAGCAATTCTGCGGCGTATGCTAAGCCACGGGCCGACTAGTTATTAATATTAATTTTATTTTTAAAAAAACAAAATTAATTTGTTGAAATGTTTCTTTTGCAGTCCATGTTATAGCTGGGAAGCCTAATTCAAGGCATGATACTGCAGAAGGGGAAGAAGACAGTAAGTTATCATATTATTATTATTATTTATAAAATGCACAAGCACAAGCTTTTTATTTTAAAAACAGTAAAATTTAACTAAAGAAAAGGGACTGATGATCATTCTATAACAACATGCATTTAAATAAAATCCAGTTGTGCCCTAACCTCTTTGACTCATAAATCAAAATAAACACAAAAATGTGACAAATTGTGTTCATTCACAAAAACTTTTGTAGTTGTAATAAAATATCTATAATTTCTTTTCCAATGAAATGTAAGATGTTATTTTACCATCTAATTTTGGTGGTCGAATCCATATATCTTTATAAGATAGTTGTGCCAACATCACTTGTCATAATCAAATTCAGGAATAAAAATTTGTTACTGCAAAATCATGGAGGCTGACATTTATTATTATAAAGACACTTATATCAACTACCGGTACCTGTTAAATATCTAATATATTTGCTTGCAATAGTGATTACAGCACTATTAAGTTAGTTAGATTAGAACTATTACTATTTTTATGATAGCATTCCAAGGCCAAGGCATTCAGTCATGATGGAATTTGTAAGGTTTTAGCTTTATTAAAGTGTTGAATTTATTATTCTAGCAATACCCCAGCATATACAAAATCAATCAAAATTTAAAGATATTTCACTTACGTGTGACTTAGAAGTGAATTGTTTTGTGAAAATTTTGATGTTCATTAATATTAAAACCAAGATGAAATTACATTTCAGGCCATTTTCTAGATGTTATTAAAAGAGCTAACCAAGAGCCAGTCAAGAAATATCCATTTCCACAGACAGAGTCACAAGAATATGGATGGATTAGCAAGCCATTGGTATGGGGGGCAAAAGAAGGGATGAAAATTGAATTATGTCATAGAATATAAAGGGAGCCTTCTGTAAAAACATACACAAATATTTCCCCACAATACATCACAAATTTTTTTACTGTATATCATTAGACCTCCCCTCCCCCAACCTCCAAAATTTACACAGCTTTTAGTTAAAACATTTAATATATATTTAATACATTCAGTATTCAGCACATACTTAAAAAATTTTTTGTTGTAGATCACACTCAAACTGTCAAACTCAAATGGCGTACCTGCACCTTTTTTCTATGGATATTCCATGTAAATTTTGAAAATTTGATGTTTGTTCCAAATGCACTTTAATCGCAATGTCAAGCAGAATATTAAAAATGGTGCATGCAGGCTACTTGTGTGTTAATTCCAATGCATAGTGTATACAATATACTTCGTCCATGCTGGTTCAACGGTGGTTCTCATGGCACTGCTCAGCTTGTCATTGGTCATGTCAATGCAAGCTGGGTGCTTGCTACATGTGGCGACTGTTATGTTTTGTTATACAACGGACCTGTGTAGTTGTGTGTCCACTGATTGAGTATGTGCAAACAGTAAAGTGGGTGGGGGGCGACACGTCCAGGTAGGCACATTTTTCATTATATTGAGGGGTGGAATTTTCTGCCAACTGCACAGTTTTTTCATGCAAGGGGGTGGCAAAAAGCTACACTAACCCTTGCAAACCCACTGCATGGAATGATAATTAATTTATTCTAAATAATTTTTTATGAAATGGAAAAAAAATTATGAATTACTTTTCAACCACCTGTCCTGGAATTAAAGAGGCCATAATATTAACAGAAACAAAGACAGAACACATGAAAATAATGATTTTGAGATGCAAAGATCTTACTTGGACAAATGACTGGCTGGATCTATTGATTTAATTATTTTTGTTTAAAGAAAGGGCCATCCATAAATTATGTCACACTATTTTGACCCATTTGAACCACCCCATCCCCCCAAAAAATCATCACTAATTTCAAGACACCCACATAAAATATAGTCACAAAATTGTGACCATCCACCCCCCTTCAACCCCAATGTATGTCATCATTACAGATAAACAAGATGTGAGTACTGGCACCTTTTTTATTTACCGGTCCAAAAAGAAGCACTGCTTAATTTAAAATATATTTTTTTTTTATTAAATCAAGATCAATAGTATTTGTAAAAATGACTTATTTTTCAGAATTTTTTTTTAAACCAAAGCTTTTCTATCATCCATAAAAGTTATTATGTCAACTTTGATATTTATCGAAAAGAATTCTTTATTTTAGAAAAAACAGTAACTATAATAATAATTTCCAATTTGCTTGTCATCCCCTCTTTCATTGCGCACCTTGCTGTGCTCTCGTTCACTGCTCCACTCAAATATGCACAAAATGAACACAAAAAAACATCTAAATTATCAATTTTTATGCAATGAGTGATTGTACTTTAAATGACCTGGCAATAATATTTGAATTGGAGCTACAAACATGCAATGAACAGTATTTTATTTTACGCATGCAAGAACATGGTTGGGTTACTATAGCTAGTAAATAATTATGTACAGTACAGAATCTATTCAAGGTTTGATGAAAAATGTTTTGTAAAAGGTAATTTTGACTAAATTCAAAGAAATGATAGAAAACAAAACAGAATGTGCAAGAATAAGGTTATTTAGTGTAACTATTAGTAATGCCGGTAAATAAACTAGTTATCAGGCATATCAGCTGGTGTTGCGTTTGGACGATGTTTTTTATCTTTTAATTTTGAACCAATCCTCCCAAAATCTCCTAACCCAAACACCTCATAAAAATCAATGGATATGCAATTTACAGATAACTCCTAAATGATAATACAGATGAGCTAGTTGACTTTCACTAAATTATTTAGCAGTTTGAAAAGTTTTAAATTTTAAGTTAAAACGAAATACATTTTAATTTTCACAATGAAAAGGTTTGAACTTGCATATAGAGCTTTAAACTGCTTGAGGTTATGGCTACTGGTGTTTATATTATTTTGGTGGGTGTAAATCAAAAACGTTAAGAATTAACTTACACTGAGTGAATGTATGTAATTTTTTGTTTTCTTGACAAGTTATATAGCAATGTAAAATAATGTCCCATCCATATTCTCTCTTTGATTACAGATTGAACATGATCATAATGACAGAAGATTAAATTTCTACCGCCATAATTCAAGCATAACAAAATACATGGACAAAGCATGGAGCTTGAAGGATCAGCAGCAAGGAGTGGCCATAAAGCCTGCAAAATGATTTCCTTCATTTGTGTTGGGAAAAAAAGTATGGCTAAAAAAATGCATGCTTAAATAAAATGAATGCAATATCTGTAAATAAGATAGACACCCATTTCTGATATATTTATTTAATTTTTAAAATTTTTATTTACAGTTTCAAAAGAAATTGGACTCAGGTTTACAACTGAAAATTAAAAAATACTTACAATATTAAATGAATATTCCAAATTAAAAGGAGAAAAAACATTTCTTTAAAATGATATGAATGCTGCTTGATATTTATTTTGTGTTTTTAACTGATATATTGACTTTTTCACTCAGATCCATTTTTTAAGTGAAAATTTTATGTACAATATTACATTCGTCATCATTTGTTGATTACCTGTTTTGTACCATGGTTGGATGTTAGATTGCTTAAATTTAAATATTGGTAGGTTAAACAGACAATAAGTGAAATGTATTATTTAGTGGTTCTCTAAGATAGCACAAGAAAATAAATACAAGCATATATGATTTGTAGCCACTGAAAGTGTTTCATTTTAGCAGCTTAGATTCTAGTAACTATTAGATTCTGTGTCAGTTTATTTATAACGCAGGCAATACAAACAAAGTCAACTAAACAACACTTAAATAAATGGACAACACCATATAAATTACAATACAATTATTTTCGTTTATTTTTCATTACTTTTCTCTTGCTTTTTCCTGGCCTCTTTCCTTGTGATTTTCCCTGAGATATATAAATGTTTTGTAAATGAGATACAATGAAAAATGTGAATGAAAATTTGATAAATACAAATGAAAAGTGTATGTGTTTTGTAAATAAAGTGCGTTATTTTACTTTTATCACCAGCACATTTAAAAACGTATCGTCAGATTTCCAAAAAATGAAAGGAAGTGTGTCATATGCATTTGATATATTTATAGTTTTCACTTAAAGATGCATCTTTGGTGTCACATGTAAAATAAATGAAATAAATCATGCTGATCAATGTATTTTTCAAAATAAAGAGCAATAAATACCTGGAACTTTTTGTTGGCTGGACCTTTCCCATGAGCTTTCCTTGCACTAAAATCTCGAAGATCTGCAGCACTGTCAGCTGTGTTGTACTTTGATCTTTTCTTCTGTCCTCCAAATCCAAATTTTTTATTCTTAAATTCTCTTCTTTTATTAGGCCTGGGAATAAGTATAAAATTTCGGATAAGTTCAGAGTTAAGTGATAAGTTTTTACATTGAAATTTTCAAAACATGCATATACATTTTTGTGTGTATTTTTATATATATACCCGGCAATAATACCAACTTATTGCTGATTCACTAGGCATCATAAAGTTTAATCATAGGAAGTATTGGCCTCAGCCCTTGTTTACTGCAGGCAACATTAACTTTTTTAACTCCAAATTATTACCAGATATTATAGTACTAAATAATGCTTTAAACACACAGGAAACAAAAATTAATAAGATTAATTAAAACTAGCTAATTCCCATTGTTATAAATATAACATAAGATTATTTTATTGATCCAAATAAATGGAAATGTTTTTGACTACATTAAACATTAGAAAGATCCTGAAAATCAAATGGCCAAATACTATCAATAACAAAGATCTACTAGAAAGGACACACTAGGTGCCCATTGATGAAGATATCATAAAGAAAAGGTGGAGATGGATAGGGCATATGCTCCGAAAACCCCCAGATAGCACCACCAGACAATGCCTAACATGGAACCCACAGGGAAAAAGAAAGGGAGGAAGCCCTAAGAATACACGGAGACACGAGCTAGAGGCTGACACGCAAAATATGGGATACACATGGAAGCAATTGGAAAGGAAAGCACAGGACTGTGATGAGTGGAAGGTTCTTGTAGACGGCCTATGCCCCAGACGGGGTAGAAAGGCATAAGTAAGTAAACATATTCATTCTCTGCACATAAATAAACACATATTTCAAACAATACAACATTTTAGAATTATAACAATTTAAACCCAAAACGACTCAAGTATTCCTCTAGTGTAAAAATCAGCCATCATATATACACACACACTCAAAAATGAACATCCTAAGTAATAGTAATGAGTTAATTAGTTATCATTTAGATATGGTAACCACTGGGGGAGCCCGCTGGTAAATTCTCACAGACTGGGGAGCCAAGAATTTGTATATCTTTCTGTCCGAATTTTAAAGGAAAGAATTCACCCTGATCTTATTTATCTGTGATAAAGATGGTGTGATGTGTGATCCATTATCTTTTTTAAATTTTTACAACAGCATCTTTCCTTGAATAGTTCTTCAAGTGAAGGATGTTTAATTTGTGTGATATAACTGGCTTTATTGATTAGTCTATTTAATCAGCGTTTGATATCAGACAATGATGATGAATTCCCACACCAGCAATAATAATACTGAATTGTAATAGGCTTCAAATTGTTGTACTGTATAATACGTTAATAACTTGTTTATTTACGCTGATATTTTAAATTTTAAGAGAGAAAAGTCTTTGGTTGACTTTTTTAATACAGAATTTGGTCCTTTTCAATTTTTTTTTGTACCGGTACTTCATTTAAAATTTGTCTGAGAATAGATTTTTCAAAACATTTAATTAAAATTGAGGCAAGTGCGACATGTTTTACAAGTGGCTTTATTTTTCTTTGGAATCGGTATAATTTCTGAAGTTTTCCATACCGGTACCTTTGGTTTGCTATAAGTTTCATATGATTTATTAAATTTGGTTAAAAAAAAAAATTATTTAGGAGACATACATATAAATATAATTATATATATATACACACAGCATAAGAATAGATTTAATAAATTCTAGCAAATCATTTATCAGCTTTAACTTTTTCATTCCGTGCCGAGGATTTGAATAAAATGAATTTACTTTATTGAATACACAAATTAGACAAACTCAAATGTAGGCAGACAAGCCAAATAGATTTGTAACCTTGGCAGAGATGAAATTTCAGTTAAGGCAAATGTGTACTTACGTAAACTGCTGTTTCCCCTTAAGCTGCTGCTGTTGTTTGGGTTGCCTCTCAATAGGCTCATCAAATAAATTAATCTTGTCAATTTGACCTTGATAAAAGCAAAAATGTCAAGAAAATATGTATTTTGAAAGTAAACAATTAGAACTTTTTTTGTGTGTGTGGTTTCTCGATAGTGCAGACAGCAGATTTTTATCCCACAAATTTTCATTCATTTTTAAACTTCAATAGCTGATGTTTTAATTAAATATGATAAATTTTACAACACCTCTAGTAAAATAATGGACCGCCAATTAAATGAAAATTATAAACTAGCTTCATTCAACACCCCCACCCTCAACCACACACAAAAATACGCGAGTGACAACAGTTTCTCTTAAAGACTGATTACCTGGGTCACTTCTGTGAGTTTGACCATCTTAATTCTTAGGTACCAAGACTCATTAATCACCCTAATCAGTTATTACATGAGCAGCTCAAAGTTAATCTTTGGAAAACATTCCAATTAAATGAGTTCAATATTAGATTGTACGCTATAGAATATGAAAGTCATGAGGGAGGGGGAAGGCCGTTTCCCAAGCTGGATAAAAAATAATTTAGTGACTTATTTATCCTTTGTAAAACATTACACTGCAGCTATAGTCTGACCTTTTCTAAACTTCTTGACAGACTCTAGCATTTCTTTCTTTTCTTTCTGTCTCTTCTGAAGTACCTCTTGTTGTGCCTAAAGAGTTAAAAATAACTAAAATGTAAATATATTTCGACAAAGTGTTTTTTTCATTTCTTATACATAGGGCAGCACATAAAAAGTGGGACAGTCTTGTAGTATGATTTCAAATAATTTTCTTTCGTTGTTACTTATAACTTCTAAAAAAGTAAAATTTTCTAAAAGTTAATTTATTATAATCAAAATCAGTGTGCACTCCTCATTCTGAATAGAATTGTTCTAAACAGCTGTGCCACTGGTCAATGATCCCCGTCTATTGTAAACCACTGATAAAACTTTTGCCACTCCTGAACAACGACCAATTTAAGTTGTTATTTTATTTCATATTTTCCCCTAAGGTAGACTTTTTGTTTCAAGGCAACCCAAATAGCATAATCTACTGAAATTAGGTCAGAGCTTTTGGGGGGGCCACATGTCTCATTCGATAAAGGTCACATTCTCCCAATGAAAAAGGTTATAGAGTTTCTTGATGTGTTTGAAGGAGCTCCATCATGTTGAGGTGTCCTGTTGTGACAATTACATCTGACTCAAATATCCAGAAACAAGCCTTGTCATTTTAAGTAAGTCCAGTCGATTAATACTTATTTAACTCCATGTTTTATTTGGAACCAGGAATCATTTGCATAACCCCCTGTTTTTCACTAACAAATCTTAAATGTGAATTCAATTTTTTTTGGGTTATTTTTGTTATTTTATAAAACCAGGAACCACTGAAAAATAATTAAAATATAAAGATGGCGACCAAAATTTAACAAAATATGGGCGTCATATGTGCACCACCCTATATACAATTCCATTTAAATTATATTATTATTTATAAAAAGGAAATCTAAGATTCGACATTTGGAATTCCCATAAGTGATTATGGAAAAGGTCATATATTTGAATTCTAAATGTGAGGAAACTATAAACATTACTTTGGAATCTATATAAAATGTAAGGCAATACAAACCTTCTTTCCATATTTTTTCATTTCCCTTAGCTTCTTGGCCTTTTCAGATTTTTCTAATGATGTCTTCTTCTCCAATAATTTTGCTCGAACCTGAAAAAACAAAAAACAATCGAATAATAATTCATAATTTTAAAAAATAGACGAATTTGCAATCATTAACACTATAGAAATAAACAAAGAAGCACACAGTATTAATCCTATTAAATGTAGCAGAATTCTAGTTCATGAGCTTACTTTCTTCATATGATCATCTGACTTCGCCATTTCGGCAAAGTAATCTTCGGGACGCTTGGTCGGTACTGACAACTTTGCAAGTCTTGCAAGACCTTCCAAAACTGTAGCCTGTGCTTGCTTGTAGCTAAAGAAAAAAAAAAGAAAAAAAGGAAGAAAGTGATTCATTAAAAACATTTTTTTATCATTATGATTAATCACCATTAAGAAAACTCTACCTTCAATCTTATTTGCATAGAAAGAATACATATGTTTATAACTATAACAAAATAAACTTTTAAAAAAAAAAACATCACCCTGCTGTTTTTTTATGAGACTTGAAAAACTGTTTCCATTATTTAAGATACATTAATGAATGAAGAAACTCACAATGTAAGCTCTCTGTTGAAGTCATCATTTTGTAACTTGTCACCATCTGTTTCATTTATTCCTAATGTTGGTGCAGGATCATTTGTAAGTTCCAATCTTTCAATCCATTTCAAACTGTCAAGTGAAAATTCTTTGAATTTATCTTTCAGACCTTCCTAGAAAGAATAAAAACTACAAGATCAGTACTCTTAAATATTTGAATAACAGAGTGTTAAAGTTGATGCACCATTATGATATGCCATTAACCTTGTGAAGGAAAGTTTATCATGCAAAATTTTACAGATTGTAGTCGAAATTTTTTTTTTCTAAAACAATAAAATCCTGATTTGTCTTTATTCAAAGTACTTACCTTGTTATTAAGAAAAGTCTTTCTTTGTTCTTCAACAATAAGTCCTGGTTTAACTATGCCAGCAGCCAGAGCCTCCTGAAGCTGAAAATAGAACCATATATTTAGGATAATATGTGTTTGTAAATGAAATGCACAGAAGTGCACAATTATGGTGTCTTTGCCACTGAATGTAGTTACCAAGGAAAATTCATACCTCAATGGCTTTCTAGATTGAAGCAGATCAATAGTAAGAATAATTTTAAATTAAATTTCAACCCAAAAGTTAATTGTTAACTTTGAGTGCTGCATAACTTTCATCTTTGTTTAAAGTATAGGCCAAATTTAGTATTTCATTATTTTAAGAGGACACCAGAGACCAGACACTGAGTCAAATTAATTTTTTTAGGTGGATAAATTTGGGTTAGCTGTATTGGTTTTGCCAAGAGTTGTCTCACCCTAAGTGCAGTGATGTCATTTTGGGGAATCCCAACACTGGACTTAGAATGGATTGACCAATATCTGGACCTGAATGATGCGTATGATAACTTTCCCGTACTTCACTGAACATTATTCCAGTCATACACTCAATCTGATGATCAATAAAGTTCAAATGAAAAGTATTGTAATGAAACCTTCCATTGCTTTTTTTTTTAATATGCAACTTATAAGGCTAAAAAGAAATGAAAAAAAAAAGAAACATATCCTTCCTGATACCCCAACTTGAATATCAGCATTATCAGTATTAAAAAAAAAGATACACACTAAAAGTACTGTCTTTGGTGAAAATAAAAGTACCCATGCCAGATGATATTCATTTCTATCATGTTGCCATTTCATGGCACATTTATCCATAACTTTCCCCACTTTTATGACAAAATAAAAATGAGGGAAAACAAACTTGTATCAAATAAATTCAAAGCTAAAAAATTTAATTTTTGTTAATATGGAACTATAGGCAGTAGTTGATATGGGGAACCACCATGACATATATACTGTAGAAGACATCGCCAGACTTACCGATAACCCAAAACTAGCCGAGTGTAGACCTTAAAATGTAGCCTATATTATAGCTACAAGTTAGTTATACTATATAACATTTTAATGACTTCAAAATTTTAACATCTTGTTTTAACATAATGTCTTAGTTAAAGTTACAGTAGTGAAAGACCTACTCTTGTTCAATTCTACTTCATATAAAAAAAAGTCTATGTACGCAAATCGCGCCACTTGGAGTTTCTGTGTAGGATTCTCTCCCTTTTTGTCTCTTCTTGGATTGTTACTAGAGTTAACTTTTATTTAAAACGCTGATAGAATGTTTTAAATTATTATTTCATTGGGTGTTTAATTATAATATTTAAATTTTCCGGCATTAGGGAAATTGAGTATAGTATTGTATTTGATTCTCTGATAACTTTTGGATTTTCTTTTTGTTGGAAACTGCAATAATTTGTGTCAAGGTGTACTCTATGTAAGTTGGGTTTTCATTATTTTAAAATTATTTTGTATTGTTTTTCTTACCACATTGTGCAATTATAGCACATGTGCTTAACTTAAGGGAAGGAAGCATTTACCATGTGAAATTATGCCAGGAAAGGGGGAGACCACAGGTCATTGACACATCTTGTTGCATTTCTTGAGGGATACAATAAAGTTGCTGTTTGACACGAACTTAATGTGCCGAAAATACGCCAGGAAACGGGTCGACCGCAGAGTGTTTACACTTCTTTTCCCACATCTATGGGGACACAATAAAGATCCTAGGTTCATCCCCAATTTAATGTACTGGCGGAAATTATTTAATTAAATGTTAATGTTTTGTTCCTATTTTAGTTTCTGTAATTATCTAAAACAGTATAATTTCTCTCTTTCCCCTCTCCATTTTAGCAGATGTGTGTTTGTACTACATTTTTTTTTCCACACCCACCATCTTGGTTGCCACTGACACCTACTGTATGGCAACCAAGATGGCAGCCATGGAAAATAAGTGACACAGATTGGGTAAAATTACAAAAAAATCTGTAGGCGTATCTTATCCTTACAAAAATTCTTATTCATTGGCCTACACTTCATTTTCGAAACAGTTCCTATGACTTAGTAGAAGAAGTAGGCTCATTATTATTAACATCAGTATTACTACTGACATCTCCGGCGACAGGGTGAATAAACTCTCGAGATATTTGTCTGGCGACCAGGTCACAAGACGGCCGTAACAAGGTATGGCTGGATATCTGTCCGTCAGCCTTGTCACGTGACCGCTAATAGTCGATCATACAACTGGCGTCTGAGATGCATGGGGCGACGGGTATACACTTCATTTCAAGAAATAGAAGGGGGGGGGGGGGGAGGAATGCATACCAGAAGGAAGAAATACTGAGAGCGAGAGAGAAAGGATAAAAATGATAGTGAGGGTGATAAATAATTAAGAAAGTTCACAAAGAAAAAGACCCAACATTTTCTTAATATAGGCCCAATGTAGTGTCATGTTGGGGTAGCCTACTTCTCACGCAATTTTAATTATTTGTTAATAGCCTAAAATAAAACATTTTTGACAATAGGCTCAGTAGTAGGTCTATTGACAGTCAACTAGCAAGTATTGGTCTAATTTTCTTTGGTTCATATTTTAAATTTAGGCTACTAATTAGAGTAGAGCTTTATTATAAAGTTTATAAGATATTTAAACCAAGATAACAGACTTTTTTTTTTCAAATTTCTAGTGACCTCTTGTCACTTGATATGTCTGCCAGAATAATAACACATACTAGTCGTCTGGCGGTCATGTGATATGCCCGCCGGAAGAATATCTCCCACACAATTTGTTCAGCCGCAGGACAGGTAGACACTGGCACTGCCTATTACTAAACTTATAACTTATAGCAAGTTAAAGTAAATCACTTATTTATTATTTTATATTTAGTTCTTGCCTAACGCATCTATTACTAAATACTATTGCTATGAAAATATTAATTATTAATCAAATTTAAAATTATATTATTATTATATTATAATTTTCATTGATCATTTAGTGATTAGCCAACCCAGCAGCATTAAAATTAAGGCAGTGTCTACATGTCCGGGTTAAGACCAAGAAAGGTGAAAGTTTATGATCGATATAAGACATGAATGCCTTCTTGTATAGGCTAAATCCTATCTCATCATATTCATATGGTCCAAAACTAATGTATAAAATGAAATAGGCTTGGTTGAAAATGACAAATGTTCACTCAATTTTAGCATTCAGTTTAGTTTAGTTTAGTTAGTTAGGCAGACCTTACTTTTTCAACTTTTTCCGAAAAGCGAGGGTTGGATTTTCTAAGCATTTGATTAGGCTATTCCTAAAGATAAATAAAAGAAACTAATAGTCAGTAACATTTAAATTAAATCTGATTTATAGTAGATATATTATGATTATCCATGCTACCTCTTCATCTTCGGAATTTGAGTCATTATCCATGTTTACACGTTCGTGCACGAAGCGTGTTGCCTTCATTTTCAGGTCCGTCTCTTTACCACAGGTGTATAGAAAATACCGAAACCAACTTTAAATGATAGTTAAAGCTAAGGTCGGATAACGCATTTAAATATTTCACACTAAGACGTATTTGCATCTTATAGTCAAATATTTAGATTTTTTGATCTAATAACAAAATGATAAAATATTTGTTTTGGCCTGCAAATTCCTGATTTACAAACCGTTTTACTACTACTCGCCCACTACTATCTATTAAGCTGTATGATAAAATAACAATACTTAACTTATTATTGTCTGGTTATTTGTTTTCTAAAATAACTATGCGTTTCAAACAATATTCTCTTTAAGCTGCGCGGCTCACTCACAGACGCCGCGCAGCAGTTTTGAGTATCCGCGCAGCAAATTTCCATGTAAGTGTGTGTTTGTGGGCTGTAAAATTTTCCACACAAAAAATCTGATGCTGTAAAACTTTGCACACAACTGTATGATTTTGCACACGAACCAGCAAACCTTAGAGAGGACATTGGTTTCAAAGTATATCTCTGTCTCTTTCTTTTTCTCTCACAGTTAAAGCAAGAAAAGACGAGAGAGAAATAAAGAATGAATATATATAAATAGTAGAAATCATTTGGCCTATTTGAATTATATTAACAAATATAATATTTTCACTGTTTTTTCTATGTCTAACAAGTGGACAAATTAACATCTGCGTAGTCGTCTGGAAGTCGAAATCTTTTTTGCAAATTATCAAAATCTCCTTCTTTTTTTTTTTGCAAATTATCATAATTATCTCTTTATTATTCTTCATCAATCCACCATTTTGAGATACAAAAACACTACGATCAGTTGATCGATGTGAGATATGTCTCACGTTTTGAGACAAGTTCTTGGTTTTCAGGATTTTCGCAACATAGCTTTAAGACGACGACAGTGAAAAGCTGTCCATGCTGATTACCGTTAACGCCTTGTGCGGTGCCTTTTACTTCTTTCTTTTCTTAATTAACCTTACCATTTGCGTGGAGGAAGATGTCTGAGAACTACATCAACTAAACTAAATTTATATATTTAAAAGTTGATCTGTTTTGCGGGGTTCCCAACAAGAGATGGGCTTATTACGCGTGCCTATAGATCTATTTCTTTCAGGTTAATCGGTTAGTGTTTCATTTTTTCTTAGAGATAGAGAGAGAGAGAGAGAGAGAGAGAGGGGGAGAGAGGGAGAGAGAGAGAGAGAGAGAGAGAGAGAGAGAGAGAGAGAGAGAGAGTGTGTGTGTGTGTGTGTGAGTGTGTGTGAACGATAGAGAAAATAAAAGAGGGGGAGAGAGGGAGAGAGAGAGAGAGAGAGAGAGAGAGAGAGAGAGAGAGAGAGAGATTGTGTGTGTGTTTGTGTAAGTGTTTGTGAACGATATAGAAAATATAACTTAGTGCCGTTGTAGAAATTCCAAACAATTTTAAATAAAAGTAACAAATGTAACATCTATAACTAGTAGCTTTCAGTTTGACCCTGGGTGTGTGTGTGTGGTGGATAGGTGGTTATATTAAAATTAACGTGTGACTTCTGCCAACTTAATATAGTCTCTGCAGGGACAGTAAACTCCTAAGAGTAAGGCGCCCAAAATACGTTTTCTAATGTAGGCTACCGGTACGCAACTTCTGGACAACTCTATTGATTCTAGGGTTTTTACATGGACGTTGGAGAATGTGAAGCATTTTTTGGTGTTAGCAACATTTGCACAACGCTCCAGTGGCCCCTACTTCTCCTGCCTGACCAAATACAACAATGTAAGAGATGGGAGTAAACAGGATGGTTTCGGAGGCGATCCGTTAGAGGGGTGGAGTGGGCGGTTGCCCAAGCTAGGGGCTCTTTGGGGATAAATAATTTTTGAAGAGCGTTATGCGCTTGTTAAATTGTCATAGGTGCATTTTGAGATTACCCCCCCCCACCCAAATACCCACTTTTTCAAAACGAATAAAGCCTGAAAATGACGCTCCTCTATGCATAGAAGAAAGGGCCCCTGGGCTGGTCCATTAACATTTAAATTACACATTTTTTCCGTCTCTTGTCTTTGTGAATTACATGGGATTGTATCGTTAATTCCCCGCTTAAGTCCTATCTAAGGACGATTTTGGCGTCCAACTTATGTTGGCGCCAGGAGTAAATACCCCCTTCACTCCCCTTTTCGAAGACCCTGCTATTTATATTTATAAAATTGTTATTATGTACCCTGTATCCATTACCAGTGGCGGACTCGTCAGAGTATCAGGTTGCCCTCTTGCAAAGTGACCCCTCTCAAATTCTGGATTTATGAAAATTTTATTTATTTCTTTTTGAAAAAAAAAATATTGTAAGTTGGCCCCCTTTATCACTTAACTGGCAACCAATATTTGTAGACCCACCCCACAGATGTCTTTCAGGCAGTTTATATGCCACTAGTAAAGAGAGAGGGAAAATATGCTTTTAAAAATAAATAAGCTGAGCTCAACATGCCAGATTCTCTTAACTACATGGCGACGTCCTTTAAAGAGGCAGCAAATTCGTTTTAAACTTCAGATTTTCCCTAACAGCCCATTGACTATCTTCGCGATATAGATGGAGCCATCAGCGCAACACTTTGCAGACAAGACGCTACGCCATACAATTAGCTGTGTCAACGGATAACATACATTTTACATTTTCAATATACTGTAAATCTATTTTGGATAGCTAGCTGAGGTTTGTAAATATGGTCATTGGATAAAACGCTAGCGTCAGGGGCATAGGTCTGCCTAGGGTGACAGTGGCATAGGTCTGCCTAAGGTGGCAGTGGTGTAGGTCCGCCTAGGGTGGCAGTGGCGTAGGTCTGCCTAGAGTGGCACTTTTTTTCTTCTTCATACTGAGAGGTGGCATCATCGGCCAACTGTGGAGCTTTTATTCGTGGAAGGGAGTTGGGGAAAATCTTGGCCCGTCCAGGGTGGTTCTGCCATGACCCACTAGAGTACAGTTCTAGTAGGTCGTGTTCTGGCTCGCGTGTCCTGTTCAAGCTGCTAGACGGCTAGCCCGCTTTTTTTCCCCTTCCCCACACCACCTTTTGCCGTCCACACAAACAACCACACAATTGGGTTGGGGGAAAGGATTATTTCTCTCTATTTGATTTTCTCTAACTTGTAACTTGAACCTGACACTGACAATGTTGTTTCTGTTTATTTACGTTACTTTCGCTTTGGTTGACACATGTGAGTAAGTGTATGTTGTGTTTACCTAGATCTAGTTTATTATGTCATTACTGCCATATTATTTATTACATAAGAAGTTTCAATTAATTTAGAAAATTGGTTATTTAAATAGATGAACTGTTAGCAGGTCAATACTAAAGATAAAATAAAACATAGCAATTCCTATGTTTTGCGCTAAAATGACGTACTTTTTTTAATCATTATTTTAACTTAATTTTACTTGCTACAAATGATTCATGGGGTAATAGGCAAAAAGCAATTGTTTTATTATACAAATAATTGTCTGGTGGCGAAAAATGTCCTTTAATTTAACCATCACACTTGAGACTTCTTCCAGCTTTATGTCACAATTGTAATGCCTGCTTATCTGGTTTGATTTGATTCGAGATGGTTTGAATGAGTTTTTTGGTGAAGTTGTTTGATGAAGTTGTTTGGTGAATTTTTTAAAATGAATTTGTGCATGTCTTAATTATTACTACCATTAGTCATTCTCAAAATACAATAATATTGGGACGGGGCAGGGACGTCACGTGGGTAGGTCAGGGGAGCATTGCCGCCCCCCCCCCCACCCTGAATTTGCAGGTTTTCTTTAAATTGTTATGTACTGTAGCGCCTCAAGTAATAAACAACTCAACAAGCCGGACAAGTTTTGGTCCCCACCCCACACCTCTCACTGAAAAAAAATCTGAAATGACGTCATTACATCGGGGAGGGGGGATGCTAAGGTCACGCTTTGCGATGGGATATACAAAACACAGCATGTATCAGAGTTTGGGTTAGATGCATTGAATCAAAACACAAAATAGCGGACATTTCAAAAACCATGTAATTAATTATTTATTTTGTTTAAAATACCTCACATAAATAATCCATTGGCTCTGGCTCAGAGAAATATAGGGCTATTATATTATTTATTGCTGAAAAGGGAAATCCATTATCTTTAGCCAGGTCCAAGATAAGTTCTTTTGTAAAAAAAAAAACTTTAATTTTATATGTTTATGCTCCAAATCAAACACATTTCATTCAAATGGATATGTTCAACACGACTTGTTTCAGCTCAATGTCATCCTCATGACGACGAGGTCAGCGCAGAACTGACCAACGAGTCTCACCTGTATTTACACCTATTAGATGACCATCATTATGTCAAGTACCTAAGACCAGCGGCTAAGCATAACGAGAGTTTGGACGTGGCGGTCGAATTGTGGGTGACAACTCTAACCGCTAAGGTGGGCTACTCATTCTTAGTTTTCCCACTGTTAAATGTAGTGTTTTTTTGTTTGTTTGTTTGTTTGTTTGTTGTTGTTTTTTCTGGGGGGTGGGGGTGGGGGAGGGGGAGTTGTGTTCATATCAAATCAACATGAAATTTAAGAAGCTTTTGTAAACTGTCCAGGAAAGTAATGAAATCAAAGGGAATTTGTTTAAAAGTATAATTTATAGTGTGTGCAGGTCATTTTCAAGAGGTGCTAATCCATTTTCAAAAGTTTGACCATGCATCATTTCAGCCCAACTCACAAGACATTTTGATATCAATGGATGTGACCATGGTGAGTATGTTTCACAATGTACTATGACTGTACCCCAATGTCCATGTTTAGGCCTATAACAAATAAATGAATATTTTAGTGGGTAATTATTGTACACATTAGCTATGGCCCGCCAAACAATGGTGGTCTCAAATGGGTGACCTTCCCATCTACTAAAGTTACTTTTCTGAACATGCAATCAAATAACGCACTTTATAAGAATCCCAAAATAATGCCCTAACCCTCCCCCCCCCCACCCAGGTTCGCAATCGCATATTTTTTTCACGTCCTTGAATTAAAATAATATTATAATGTTCCATCCCCTTTTGTACCGCAGATTTATAACACCATGTTTAAATTGAGATAATTTTCGTTAAAAAAAAAAAAAAAAAAAAAATATTACGCACCAAACGCACTTGCGGTATTTTTAAGTTATCGGGAATTTTATTGAGTGAAAGCGTTGATGACATTAGTTGATTGTTAAACTGTTCCACAGAGGATTATGTATTTTGATTAGTTTAATTTCTGTATCATACAGCGTATGTCAGGATATGATATCTGATAAACTCCCAAAACATATATAGTTATATTCTAAACACCAAGTTCGCTAGCCCTACATTTTTATAGTACATCTGTATTAATCACGAATTTGTTGAAAATGCATTTTTTGCACCTCCACCCAGAAATGGCATGACCCTCGTCTGAGATGGAATGTCACCGAATATGGCGGGATTCCTTTTCTCGTTGTTCCTCACGACGTTATTTGGATGCCTCATTTGAGGGTCACGTCGGAGTAAGACAAGTCTAACGTTAATTGTTTATTTTATTGTTTACAATTTTCTCCACAAATAATATATCTCTGATAAAATTATAGAGCCCTTTTTGTATTGACATCTGTTTTTTTTAAAATTGTAGAAAATAATAATATATATACTCTTATAGCTTTCTTAGTGAAGTTTTAGCTCGTGTAACATTGGTGAATATTTTCTTATTTTACGAAATCTTCAGACAAACTCTGGAACCCCTGCGGTCATCTGGAGCAACACTTGAACATACAGGAGATGTCACAGTGACCACCACAGTGCATGTCACCAGCTCGTGCATCACCGATGTGACCGACTTCCCCACAGAGGTCAAGCAGTGTGACTTCATTTCACCGTTCGGTCACCGCCACATTCAAGAGCAGGAGTTTGTCATTTTCCGTTTCGCTAACGCAGTGAAGGGTCTCGTCCCTTTGTCTGATGCCTTTCGATCCAAAATCGGATCGAGCTGGGTCTTCATGGGCTCCGAGATGTCACGGGCGGCCACCACAGATCAGGAGGCTGCTGTAGGCTCTCAGGGGAGCCGAGGTGAACTACAGATGCATTTCAAAATGATGAGGGCCGACAATGTTAAAATTTTGATTCTGAAGACGTCCGGGATCATCATGGCAGCTCTCTTGCCAGTTATATTTTTATTTCCCCCTGATTCTTCGGCGAAAATCATCTCAGGTAATTAACGCACTTGAAATTCGGTTGAAGATTCTCTATTGCTATTTATGCATTCTGTTGTGCATGATGCTTGTCAACCGTCAAAAGTATTTTTCAACAGTATCACTGTCGTGGGGGGGGGGTGTACCATAAATGACGCCACGCTATTTTGGCAAAGATTATTAATCACTGATTCTCTATTGCTATTTATGCATTCTGTTGTGCATGATGCTTGTCAAACGTCAAAAGTATTTTTCAACAGTATCACTGTCGTGGGGGGGGGGGGTGTACCATAAATGACGCCACGCTATTTTGGCAAAGATTATTAATCACAATTGTCGCAAATCTTTACACAAAATAGAATCACACATCGTCACAAATTTCTGACCCCACCCGTCCCTTTTTTTCTCTAGATACGTGACGTAATTTATGGATGACCCCTGTCATTTGGGATCATCTGTCCAGATTTTCGTTTGAAATGAATTTTAATTATTTGTTTAATACTTCTCCATTCTTTTGAAGGTTGTCTTCTCCTAATCGCCATCACCTTGGTTCTAACAACTGTCACCAACCACATGCTGCCCACCGAGGGTGGTGAGAGTAGAGGCTGTCCTAAAATAGGTCAGATATGCAGGTTAAATTACACGTAAAGACTTGTTACTGCTTTTTTATCCCTAAAAATAGTATTTGCCATTGTCAAATTTCTTTTCTTTACATTTTTTTTAAGTATAAGAATTAATAAAGAACGCCACGTAACATCAAAATATATAAGTTATATCCAAATAATAAATTGCTAACATCAATGAAGTTCATGTTAAATTGAAAACTGACAACATAATGATACTTTGTGCAAGCATTAGCAACTGAATAACAGAAACCACCCCAAATTCCCAACTTCCTTACCTTTGTAAATCCAGAAAAATTAAGTTTCTCATTAAAATTGCGATACTTTTTAAAGTAAAAATTATATTTCTTGTCTCAAAATATGCGTGACCCTCACTGTCACTGTTTTGTATTAAAGCTAAGTGATATTTTTGTCAATGTAATTTGAAGTGACTATGTATTTTTTTTATTAATAATTTCCAATTTCCAGTTGTGTTTTTTATTGTTACGATGGCCCTCAACGCTGGTTCAGTTATCATCTCTGTCATCGTGGCAACCATTGCGCGTGCGTCGCCAAGGACGCATATGCCAAGTTGGGCGAGGAAAGTAAGTGCATATCGAGGTCATAGCTGGGTGAACTTCACGATTTAATTTCTAATATTAAGTGTATGTATGGTGGGGGGCCTTAAAATAGTAAATGTGTATGACTTAATGTTTGCCCGTATATTCACGTCGTGGGGGAAAAAGGGGGGGGGGGGTAAACTCTTGCCTAATCCCCACAATCACGCACATCTCAAATTTACAAAGAGACGCATAAAAATGTAAAGTTTGACTGTAATAGCATTGTTAATTATAAAGCAAAACATTCACTTCGAATAATGATACCCCCCCCCCTTTTCAAACCTATAATTTTTAAGCTTAAAATTTTAACAATATCATTATTGTTTGAATCCAAAAAAAAAAAATAAAAAATAATAATAAATCTACCACTGACATCAAAAATTTGAGTGGTCCCGCCTCCTTCCCGGGCTATGAGAGGAACTGTCCTAGTGGAGGAGCTACGGTTAGTGCCGCGCTGGGCGGGCAATTCTTGCCCCACCTCAAAGAAAAAAAAAACTCTGCAGTTGGCCGAAAAGCCGCCACCCCCCCCCCCTCAATATTTAGAAAAATCCCTCACGGGGTGGACCATATCCCCCTTCCTACTCTTGCTGCCCAATTTAATAAATACATTTTTAAAACTTAAGTACAGATTTAAAAATTTATGCTTTTTATTTCTCAGATCTTTTTCGGAACTTTTGGCGTTCACCGTTTTACACGCGCGCCCTTCAGCCATGACACGATGACCCCAATGGATGACCTTTCTACGGGTGTGGACGCAGATCAAGTGGCCTTCAACGATGGCGACGGTAACAGCGACAAGGACGGGGGAAGAGGACACCACAACCCAATGTCCGCTGCTCTCCACACGACGAACGGGAGAGGTTCTGAGTGGAGAGAAGCCGCCATCCTCATCGACCGTGTCATGTTTGGTGTTTACGTGTTCGTCATACTGTCAGTCAGTACGAGCCTGCTGAGTTAACCATCGGACCCGGTGGTCACAATAACCTGGTTGAGCTCATCTTTTCTTTTAGTTTAGAGCTAATGGAGAATATTTAACGGCTCTATAAAATTGGTATATTATAATACTTTATGCATACAAATAAAATGTCACAATTTAAAATAAAAAAGACTCACTGTTCAATTACATGTTGTGCTATATTTATACATATAACTTGAGGATTCGATGTAACCTAACGATGGTCAATTATTAAAAAATATATATATTGGCGACTGAAGTCGTATACATTTTTACTATGTCTCCAACTCTGTGACGACTACTCCTGAAGTCCAAGATGGATGAATTGAAAAGTTCCGTGAAAAAGCTGACAAGATTAGTAAACTTCAACACGATTTTACTTAACCTTGACTTTAAATTATTTTGTCTGTCTTTTTTAATTTTTTTAAAAAATGTAATCGAATTCAAGTTTTGGGAATATTTCTGCATTTTTTTTTCTTTCTGTTGTGTGTGTGTGTGTGGGGGGGGGGGTGTTGTTCAGCATATAATTATTATGAATAATTATTCCACCTCTGAGACTTTATAACTTATTCGTTTGAAATCACTGTTAACGGATGTTCATAACTAATTTTTTTTTTTTTTATTTTTTTCTTTCTGTTGTGTGTGTGTGTGTGGGGGGGGGGGGTGTTGTTCAGCATATAATTATTATGAATAATTATTCCACCTCTGAGACTTTATAACTTATTCGTTTGAAATCACTGTTAACGGATGTTCATAACTAATTTTTTTTTTTTATAAAGTAAAAAATAAATATTAATCTTTCAGTCGACATTAATTAAAGCTACTTAAATGTCATAAGGATCCTTTACAAAAAATATATTAACATCGTGAGGACACTACGGTTTCTTATTTAGCATATGTGTCGAGTATGAGCGTTCATTAGTAATTGTTGCGACTCAATATTAAGTTCATTAGTTGTTGAACGCTTTTCCCGCGCTTGACTATTATAGTTAGTGAACGCTCTTCCCGCCATTGTCTCTATGACGTATTTTTATGCTGATTCGTGACGTATTGTCTATGCAGTATTGTGGCATATGTTTTAGTCGTGCGGCAGTCTTGAGTGGAACTTTGGAGTGATAGGATGTGTATTATTTAGGTCTGATGGCAAAATGTTGCATCTTAACTTTTTCTTCTAGCTTAGATGGGCTTGGAAAAGACTATGAAGCGAGATGATTAATATTGCACTTGTGTAGATATAGGAATAGCAGTTAACACCAACATAATAAGTCTTTGGATTCAGTGCATACCAAGAGAAGTATTTATTCCAACTGAGTTCATTATGAAACAGCGAGAGTGTCGAGGCAGTTCATTCACTGAGAGCGTGAGGTTTAATTTTGTCCACGGCAGCAATGGTGGTGTTACAAGCAGGAAACACCGAATGTTCTTACGCTTTTTCTTAGGGTGCTTTATTTTGTCGTTTGTGACGGAATCTCGCATCTCAGTTTTGACCCAATTTCTGACCTCTGATTAGAGCTGAAGCTCTGTATATTTACCCACCCCCCGATGAAAATACAATTGTACATCATCAGTAGATCAACAGTGACACCCATTGACCCTTGAGTGACCTATGGGGTCAAATCTATATTATTGGTCCACATGTTCACCCGTATAACTCAAATCTCCCTATATGCAAACTTGCTTCGAAAAAAACCCCGCTTTATCTCAATTTAAATAATCTAGGCACAGCTCGATAACTTACATCGCCCTAAACTCTAGACATTTGCGGGCAGATCGGGAATTCAAAAGGGCCCAGCGAATAATCTGGTACAGAGGTCGGGCGAGACAAGTAGACTTCCCGATCTCCAACTGAGTCCAAAGCTGTGTACACTCACCCACCTCCGATAACAATACAACCCTTCGTGATCCAGTAGGCCCCCAGTGACCTAAATTGACCCTATTAAGATCAAGACTTACACCTCAATTTTGACCCATTTCCTGATCTCAGATTCAGCTGGAAATGTGTACACTTTCTCACATATGGGGAAATACAATCCTTCAAGATCATTAGGTCACCAGTGACCTCCATTGAACCCCGAGTTACTCTGAGTGTCAAATCTGGCATTTCAATTTTAATCCTGATTTCCAATTGAGCTGATACTTATACACTTACCACCCCGATGACGATACAGGCAGCCCGTATACGTGATGATAAACAAATGATAATAAAGGCTAAAAATACAAAATAAAACAATATAAAAATACTTTTTTTTAAAAAATACGCTTTGAAAAAAGTATAAAATAAATGTCCCTCAAAACTTGAGAGTAGATATAGACATATTATGTCTAAAAAGCATGGGGTGACCATAAAATCAATGTTCTTTGCAGATCGCCCCCCTCCCTAGAGATCACTTATAACATACATCTGAACCGATAAACTCGCGTTTTATTTAATTAGTGTACAGAATGTTATTCAGTGTGTTATTAGTATTATAGCTAAGGTGATGAAGACACTATGCCAACATTTCTAGCGGATAATTCATTCAAAGATCTCCAAAATTGTTATCGATTGAAATGCTAAGCCTTGTATCAATTTTATTCGACTAGACGGAAGGATGTTAACACAATTGGGGAGGGTGAGGGGGGGGGGTTGGAAATGTTTGACAGTTGTTGACAAAGGGGGGGGGGGAGAGGGGGTTTAGATAAGTTGACGTCGACAAAAATTTTTTCTCTATTAAATTTTTCTCTTAAAAATTGACTGGTTATTACATTATTTTTTTTAAAAAATTATAAGTTTAAANTGAAGACACTATGCCAACATTTCTAGCGGATAATTCATTCAAAGATCTCCAAAATTGTTATCGATTGAAATGCTAAGCCTTGTATCAATTTTATTCGACTAGACGGAAGGATGTTAACACAATTGGGGAGGGTGAGGGGGGGGGGTTGGAAATGTTTGACAGTTGTTGACAAAGGGGGGGGGGGAGAGGGGGTTTAGATTAGTTGACGTCGACAATAATTTTTTCTCTATTAAATTTTTCTCTTAAAAATTGACTGGTTATTACATTATTTTTTTTAAAAAATTATAAGTTTAAATGAGTATAAATAGTCATATAATTTTTAGGCTTTTAACAATATAAGAGTTATTTAATGTGTGTCTGCCTGTGAACCGCAGATGGCTCGTCAAAATGTTAGAACACTTTGTTAGTGCAAGAGAAGTCAAAAGTTGGCCTCTCTTCATCTGTAGATTCTGTTTGTCGCAAATGACTAAGTGAAAGTGCGATCATTTTGCATGCATGGGACAAGGACAAGTCAAGTGTCATGTGAAGTCAAGATAAATGATATTGATAGAGTATGAATGCGATATTTTGAGAATTAGGGGAAAGTAAAGTGAGTAACAATAGTAATATCGCTGCTTGCACGGATTTGAAAAATATGTAACATCTATTTTGCATCACAAATCATGTTGAAAAAACATGTCCAACAGCAATGACAATGCCCTCATGAACGTAAGAAATTAGCATCTGCTCCTCAACAAAAAAGTATTCGACCAATGCAAGTAGCTGTCACAAAACAGAGAGAGCTAATGGCAATTATTTCTCAAACCGACAATACTTATATTTTAAGTGCTGAATGATTAGATGAGGATGATGTTGACCTCTCTGGCATATCAATTCCGCAAGATGAAAATGAAAACTTCAGCTACTATAGCCTATGTCCACCAGGGGCGTCATTTCAGGTTTTTTCAGGGGGGGGGGAGGGGGCAAAACCAAAACTTAGTCGGCTTATTAAGTTGTTTATTACTAGAGGTGCCACAGTACCCAGCAATTTGAATAAAACCGTCAAATTCGGGGTGGGGGTCGGGGGGCAAATGCCCTACGGCCCTACCCAAATGATGTCCCTGCTGCCCATTGTTACGATAGCGCAACACCTGGCTACTCCATGGGACGATGATAGCAGTTAGAAACTATACTGTAACTGTCAGCTTTGCTGACGATAGTCATATTTATGCCACAAACAATGTTTTTTAGTCTTTAACAACCTTTTAATTGATACTGCATTATAAAGTTTAAGTGTAAAAACGTGTAAACTTGTTGATTAACAAGTTAAAGATGTAATGAAATGTTTTTCCTACATTTTTTTTTT